TTCTACAACTTAGAAGTAGAAGCAACAAAATCCAAAGCCAATGAAATACTTTATTAATTTTCTATCTTATTTTTTTCCCTTGTGGTACTGGAAACTCAGCCACAGCTCTGTGCATGCTAGGCATGTCTTCTGTACCACCGAGTCACATCCCTAGCCTCTAGCTCAAGTTTCTAAGTTTGTTTTAATTATTTTAATTTCTTCATTTTATTTTAGTTGATTAATTTTTGAGACAGGATTTTTCCTCTGCATTGTGGCTGGCCTCTTGTGATTGTTCTACCCCGGGGTCTTGAGTGCTGGAATTACAGGCATGTGACACTATGCTTGGCTAGTTTTAATTTTTGAAAATAATACTATACCATGTTCCATTAGTAAACAATTTGTAACATAAAACTTTGGCACTATGAATAACTTAAAGATGATGCAATATCAGCTATCATGGGATTAAAAATATGAGTAAAAGATACTTGGTAGATTTCCATAAGCTAAAAATCTGGTTATTTTGATTTTCTGGAATACAGGCCCTAGTTGAGAGGCAGGAAATTATTTGAGGAAAATTGCTTTAACTGTATCATTTAATCAGAGGATGTGTGCTGTTAGCTTACTATAGACATAGGCATTGTTAGTACATAATTTGATGTCTCCCCACTTAAGCAGTTCAAGCATATTTATACCTGACATTTGAACTATTATTTACCCTTCTTATGCTTCCTATTCAGTGACCTTTTCTTCCTTCAAAATTTGGCAAAGCATTGTCTTTCATCAGTTTCAGACAGGCCAGCTTCCCCTCAAGAACTTCCATGCCTTGTTCCCCTTTCCATGTCTGTTTCTCGCTCTGTATCAGTTCCGTTATAATATTAATTCCTCCTACAGTCAGAACTTTACTCATTTTACAAATATTTACTGTTTTCTAATAGAACTTTTCTGAGTTTGTCATTACATGCTTACTTCCTTGCTTATTCTCTGCCTCTTCCTAAGTACCATTTGGACAAGAACAAAATCTGTGTGCTGGTACATTTTAGGTATTCAGTGAATGTTTTACACTCAGTGGACAGTGATTCACAGATAAAAGTAATTTTCAGTTTTACTCCAGGTTGTACAGCTCTTTTCCCAAAAAAAGTCTTCAGAAAAACATTTGAAGCAGTTTACATGCTTTATGGCTAAAGTGCACATGCTTGTTTGATGAAATTATTGGGAGAACATGGGAGAAAGGAGTAGTTAAAAATACTTTGAGACCTAGGGATGTAGCTCAGTGGTAAAGTGCATACCTAGTATGCACAAGGCCTTGGGTTAATTTCTTCCCACTACCACCAAAAAATATTTTTTAAAGATTTAGTTATGTAACTAATATATATATATATATATATATATATGTATGTATATATATATATATATATATATATAAAATTTGTAATGTTTTGTCAGTCATGGGGCTTGATCAGAGCCTGGGTACTATCCCTGAGCTTTTTCTCTCAAGGCTGGCACTCTACCACTTTGAACCACAGCATCACTTCCAGTTTTCTAGTGGTTAATTGGAGATAAGAGTCTCGTGGACTTTCCTGCCCCAACTGGCTTGGGACGGCAATCCTCAGACCTCAGCCTCCTGAGTAGCTAGGATTATAAGCGTGAGCCATCAGTGCCTGTCAGAAGCATATTTTTACTTTCATCCTTACTTTAAGGCAGAGTTAACCACTGAGATTTGAGCACTTTAATGTTCTTGTTTAAATCATTCATTCAACAAATGTTTATTGAGAAACCGTCTGCAAAGCACTTTTACATTTTAGAAATACTGTTGTGAATATGCTAAATAAAACTCAGACTTTCCTGCATCTTTAATTCTAGTGGGATAGTTGATAAACATATAAACAAATGAATACATGATATAATTTCAAGTACTTATGAATGCTATGAAGAATATGTAGTAGAATTAAAGGAGGACATAGAAGCAACTTACTCTCTTAGACTTCAAGTAAAGATGTTAAGTAAGGTGAAGGAGACAGATATGTCTGCCAATTGGAGGGGAGGGTTGTTAATGTCCCTACTTCCTAGTACAGAATAGAGGACTGGGTGGATAACTGAGATGGATAACTAGGCATACATTTGCATTTGAACAAATGCATTGTTGTTTGTGTAATGGCATTTATAGGTATAAATAAGAACTACATGTAAATAAGACTTGCTAATATTGTTTCTAATGCTTAGCATGTATTAATTCAATTCTCACAATATTATAGCTTATTATCATTAATATTTTCACTTTACATTTATCCTAGTGAAGTTAAATAACTTGCTTGAAGTCTTGTAACAAATAAGCAGCCAGGCTTGAACCCATGTGTATGCTCTGGGTTTGTATACTGCACTATTCTTCCTCCTACCATTAGAACATATTGGTTATCATTCACTATCTGTGTAACCTCTTGATTTGGTGTCATAAAGTGAAGACTACTGGTACATGAAGACTACTAGGCATGAAGCCTACTTGTCAAAAATGTTACCTTAATCCCTAGAGGGGGACTTTAGTATAATTCTATTAGGATAATCTGAATTATAAAGCAGGTTTTTAACATATGTCTAAAAAGTAAGTAAAATGCCTGCTGAATAGCATACTTAAGTCCTATTTGTTGTGAACTGTCAAGGGTCTCCTAATTAGTTTGAGAGGAAAGTGAGAGTAGGCCATTCTTCCAGAATGTATATGGGTTTATACCCTTATACTTAAGAAAAGAGCAATTCATCCGTGACTATAAAATGTGAAACACCAAGTATAGCTATGCAGTAACTAGAGTGAATCTTCTAGGTGCTAATTGTTAACATTACTGAAATGAAAGCCACTATTTAATGAATATAAAAAAACAATAATTTGACAGTAAAAAATTACATCATGTGGGAGGTAAAGTTTTCTTTTTCCAACTCTTTTCCACTGATGCCTCCATAGTAGACAACCCAGGCCTGTCACCAATGTTGCTTTGAGAATGCTTCCTATACTGAGCACTATTACAAATGTAGCCTGTCTTTCACTGTTTCGTTGGAATGGAAGAAGGATTGAAAATAATCAATTTTTGTTGTATCTCTTCATTCAAATTCAACTTATGAGGGCCTACATGATGCCTCATAAAGAAAAAGTAAATTTTAAAAGGATATTTTTTCCTGGGCATATTTTTTCCTGAGAGCATTATCTTTAATGAATTCATATATACATTCAAGGTACTCAAAATATTCATTCTCAGTCACTGAAAAAAGAATAAAAGAGTTAAATATGTGAGTGCTACAGTGAAGCCACTTTATTTCCCCTGCGACATGGTGTGGTTCTTTCTATTGTTGAGGAAATGAAACCAGTTCTGAGAGCAAAACTTCTCTTTACTAGTAAGATTGAAGACAGAATTAAGCTTTTAGCTTTCCTATTCCAGAACCTATGCTCTTCAAAGTTTTTTTGTTGTTGGGGTAGATGAGTTGTATATAGGAATGTATGTCCTAATCATGAGTAACTTATCATAAAGGACTGTTGAGTAATTTACCACTTTTTTCTTCAAAACTTGCTCTTTATACATTTTTCTCAAGTTGCTTTTTTGTTTGTTTTCTCATTTTCATATTAGAGACTTGCCCCAAATACTTGATTGTAACTCATGCATAAGAACAAGTCACTGAAAATTAGCTCAGCGCTGAGAGTTCCTGGGTGGAGATTGTAAACTTGCTAGAATGTTTTCTTAAGAAATCCTCATTTAAGGCCTCTAGGACTTTTCTCTTAAACTCATGGTAGACTCTTAAACTCATATATACTCAGCTTGGACTCTTCTATTTTTATGGCTAGAGGATATGATCAAGGCTGCAAATATCCTAGGGTATGGAGATAGGAAGCAGTCTGGTATATACAGTATTCATGCTATGATCTTTTCCTTGATCCTGTCCATTTTAATGTGGTAGATCCTCCTTGGACTCAGTTTTTTAGGACAGAGGATTCTGTTTCACACTCATTCCATAATAAATGTATGTGTTTTATAAACCCTTTTTTCATCAGTTAAAAACGAAAAAAAGGAGACTATTTAGAAGTCTGCCATATTCTGAATTGCACTTCCTACTGGTACTAATGCTAATTTGTCTGCTAATTTCCTTTCCCCTCATTGCTTGGCTTTTCACTGCTTCCAAAGGGTTCCCTTGTTGTTACTGCTTTTCCTAATTTTTAGATTTCCATATGGCCTTTTCTTACCTGCTCAGTGGTTGCCACTTATCCATAGTTTTCCAGATTCAGTTTTCTTCATATTTGATATTCATCTTCCACTCATTACTCATTAGAATTAGGTCATTTTAACATTGGTCCATTTACTGACATATTAATGCTTTTTGTGTGTGTGTAAAGGTGTATTATACCTAACCTGAAACATTAAATGCTTTAATATCTGCAAGTTTTTGTGATTCTGGGAATGGAGACTAGAGTCTTGCTCATCTAAGCAGGCATTGTACCACCTCAGACCTAAAAATTTATGAGTGAGATCATATGATAGAACACAATCACAATGGTACTAAAAGAGTATTTAGATTCCTTCAAGCTGTATGTATATAGGTGTAATTTATGAGTGAGATCATATGATAGAACACAATCAAAATGGTACTAAAAGAGTATTTAGATTCCTTCAAGCTGTATGTATATAGGTGTATGTGAAGCTTCGATAGATTAGGGTTTAGACATGGATCCAAATCCTAAGATATTTCTATATGTGGATGCAAATATTTCAAACTAAAAAACCCACATAAGTAAAAATCTAAAATATTCCTTGTCCCAAAGATTTAATAAAGGATATCCTACCTGTGTAATTATTTAAGGCTATATATTTTCCTCTTTTTTACTTTGTATATGTAAGTACAAAAGAAAAGGATCTCATCCTGACTTCTCAATTGCCTTTATCAGTTGTAATTGATAGGGTAACCATATCAATCAATTTTATTTTTTATCTACATGGGAAAATCATACTTACTAATTTTGTTTTAAAATGACATCTTGATTCCTATAGGATTCACCTTTATTTGATCTTATTAAACAATCAAAGGACCGAGAAGGACCAGTAGATCACCTTGAATCTGCTTGTCCTCTCAACCTCCCTCTCCAGAATAATCACACGGCAGCAGATATGTAAGTGGATATTTTATGTTATTCATTAAAACTTCAAATAGATTTTGAGCATAAGGGCAATGCAAGATACTTCATAGAAGTTGTAGGGAATATAACTTTTCATATGACGTTATTTCTAATTTGGAGAATGAGGGATATAAGATAATACCCCGCCGGGCGCCAGTGGCTCAGACCTGTAATCCTAGCTACTCAGGAGGCTGAGATCTGAGAATTGTGGTTCAAAGCCAGCCTGGACAGGAAAGTCTGTGTGACTCTTATCTCCATTAACCACCTGAAGACCAGAAGTGGTGCTGTGGCTCAAGTGATCAAGTGCTTGCTTTGAGCTGATGAGCTCAAGGATAGCTCCCAGAGTTCAAGCTCTGTGACCGACAAAAATTTTAAAAAAGATAATAACCTAAAAATAAAGTTGTTGAAAGGAATAAAAATACAGCTGAATTATATAGGCTTGGTATAAAAGGCAGAGTCCTTTTTGTTTTTGTTTTTGTCCAGTATTGGGGCTTGAACTCAGACCTCAATGCTGTCACTTGTCTTTTTCATTTAAGACTAGTGCTCTACCACTTCCAGCTTTTTGCTGGTTAATTGGCATGAGCAACCAACTCCCAGTTGAAGGTAGTTTCTCTGGCAGAGGTTACAGTTTAGATAAACCATAAGATTGAGTAGGATATCAGCATGAAAATTGGAGAAGTTGAATAGTGTTCTAAAAGCCAGACATGATGTAAACCCATAATAGCAAGGGAAGCAGGAAACACTTTCAGTTCAGTATGTGCCACACCATTTGGAGTGCAGGGCAGCCTAAATTAGGCAGTAGTGTGAGATACGGAACAGCATGTCTAATTAGTACACTGTAGTTGTGATGACAAAAGAAAGCAAGCCTATAAGAAACTGGAAAATTAAAAAACAATTCTTGCATTTTTTTAACTTTTAAGACATTAAATATAATATGGAGCCATTTGTTCAGACAGGAAGAACTTGGGAAAGAAAGCCAAGGTTCTGCTTTAGTCTTAGTACTTTTGTGATGAATATAGTTACGGGTATTAAGTAACTGGATTTTTGTACCTAGTATTGCAGGGAGATTAACCAGTAACCAAGTTAAATCAGTCTATAATTACCTGATAAAGAACTAAAGGGCAGTGGAAGAGCAGTTATAAAAGGTCAGACACCAATGTATTTTTAAATAATTGTGCTAGTGAATCCATTTTCCTGTTTACTAGTTAATATACTGTATATAGTAGAAATAGTAAGGGGTCATACTTTGTTTCTCTGCTACTTAAAACTCACAAAGAGCCAGGTGCCTGTAACTTATGCCTGTATTCCTAGCTACTACTCAGGAGGCTGATATCTGAGTCAGCCTGGGCAGGAAAACCAGACTCTTGTCTCAATTTCTTATTTCCAATTAAACACCAAAAAGCCAAAAGTGGAACTGTGGCTCAAGTGGTAGAGAGTTAGCCTTGAGCAAAATGTTCAAGGACAGCATCTAGGCCCTTAGTTCAAACCCCAAGACCGGTGCACACACATGCTCATGCACACACACACACACACACACACGTGCACACACATATACATGCACTCACATACCCCACACCATACCACACCACTTGACTGACAAAGATGTGAGCTATTCTATTAAAGGGCAACAAAACAATAGAATTGTCATAAGTTACGAGATATTTGTTAATACCTCCACTTCAATTTATACTGGCATATGTAGTATACAGGTTTAAATCTGTTTTGATGTTATTTGAAGTATTTAGTGATAGAATTCTGTACTATATCATTAAGATGCATACACAGCTTAATTCTTAACATGCATATGAATTGTACTTATGAACAAAATTTAAGTGTAGAATAAAAGACAAATGGTAACACTTTGGAATTAATAACTTGCTTTTTAAGCTGGAGTCATTTTATGATATCAATCTAAATGTAATTATTAGGTAGAAAATTATGCACCTTCAGCTGTTTTTCCCCAGTAAGTCAATAATTTCCAAGTAAAGCCACTTATTACAATAGAATTAGACATGACTATATCTAGCATAATCATTAAGCTTTCTCCCTCGCTTGAATTTTAATAACCTGCTTAGAGAATTTGATATAGAATAACAGATCAAATAGGTAAAATGTATTTTAGTATATGTGTGCAAACTTTTAATGATGATTTTCTCTTTGATTATATCTAGGTATCTTTCTCCTTTAAGATCCCCAAAGAAAAAAGGTTCAACAACACGTGTGAATGCTACTGCAAATGTTGAGACACAAGCCACCTCAGCATTACAGACTCAGAAGCCATCGAAATCTACCTCCCTTTCACTCTTTTACAAAAAGGGTTAGTAGAAGATTTACTTTCAAGAGCATGGTCTCTGAAAAGAGAGTGACTAGATTGAAATCATGGCTCCTCTACTTAGTAGGTGTGGCTTTGAACACTTAATAGTTCAGTACCTCAGTTTCCTCATCTTTAAAATAATAATAAGCTACATTATTATAATAAGTGTATTTTTAGATCATTAAATGAGTTAATACAATAAAATATTTTTAACAATGCCTAGTACATACAGTGCACTCAGAAAATGTTAGACATTAGTGATGCTACTGCTTCTGTGGTTGTTCCTTTGTTTGCATCAATGTTATTGCTGTTTATGCAGAGTTTATGCTGGGTATGCAGAGTTGAGACTATGTAATGTGCAGTGACTAATACAGACACATCTTCTGACATTTGCAGAACATTTAGAAGTATAGAATGTATAGCATTCTCTGATTGTGTATATATGTTGTGGGTAGAGAGGTTAGTTTTACATATCTGTACATGCAAGTCCATACCTGCAAGTCCAAGACATTTTCTTCAGGTTATTCACATTAAAAATGTAATGAAGCTTATAGAATATTCCCCTAGGTTAGGGAAGGAGCTTTCAAAGATAATCCCAAGCCAGCAGGAGTTGGGGGCTCCACCTAGACTTTGTCACTGAGAAAATCTAAGATAGGCCCCCAGAGTCTGTGTTGTAACCAACCCTTAGTCAAGTCTGATATGTGATAAAGTTTTAGAACCAGTAGGACAAATTGTTAGTTTTTAAAAGTTCTCTGTATCTTATGCAAGTCTTTAAGGGTACATTTTAAATTGAGAGTATATTTGAAGTAGATAGAATAAAATTCTTTTTTCCAAACTTGTATTTATCATAATATTTTAATAGACTATGGATTTTATATCACAGTCATATTTCACTTAGATAATCTAGATATTTACCATTTTTTTCAGAGTGTTCTCTGTTGGTATTTCATGGAGAAATGAATAGGATAGTTATATTTTGCTTTTAGGATTGGAAAAATTAATACACATGGGCATTTCCATTAGTTTAAAAAGAATTATCCTTCTTGAATATTGGTAGTGAGAATTTCCAACATTTCTGCTGAGTAATTACCCCAAAACTGAAGCAAGTCTTATTTGATTTATCTAATTTCACAATATTTTTTGACCTTTCCCCTCTCTCTACCCTTCCACCACTGCCTCAGTTTTGTGATAGAATAGCTAATTCAGCAAGTATTACGGTGTCTTTTGTATACCTAGCACTAACCTAGTACCAGGAATCACTTATTCATAAGGAATACAGTGGTGATGGTAAGGTCACAATGCTAACAGCATTGTGGTTGTAGCGATTTAATGGTTTTTAAAAAATCTGCTTGTACGCTATGTTGAAAACTTAACTTTACAACTTCGGGGGAGGGGAAGGAAGAGTTGGGGAGATGGGGAGGGAAGGGATAGTAGGGGAAAAACAAAGGAGGAGGTAACAATGCTCCATTAGAAATGTACTCATTACCTTACTCATGTATCTGTAACCCCTCTGTACAGTATTTTTACAATAAAAAAATTTAAAAATCTACTTGTGCTTAAAAGTGAACAGTAAACATGATTCATTCCACTATATCTACAGTATACCGGCTGGCATATCTCCGACTAAATACCCTATGTGCACGCCTCCTCTCTGACCACCCAGAGCTAGAGCACATTATCTGGACTCTGTTCCAACATACACTACAAAATGAGTATGAGCTCATGAGAGACAGGCATTTGGACCAGGTAAGAAAATCAAGCACTTTACCTTCTCTTCTCCCTACTTATTTGTTAGCTCTGTACTTACTTCTTAAGAAAAGATTGAACTCAAATGAAAAGCTAGATTAGCATAGATTAACATAGTATACTTATATCTACTTGTTGGGTACTATTTATATTTTTACTATATTCTTACAAGTTAGAGCTTTAGACATCAAGAATATATTTTATAACTACATATTTATGATAAAATTGCCTTTATAAAAAAAATCAAAGAATCTATCATAAGCTTTTTTGTATTGTGGTAAGCCTACTCTTTAGTATGGAAAAAATATGAGACTTATGAATCAGTTGACATAAAATAATCATGAATAAGTTAATTAATGAATAAATGAAATTAGTTTATAAAAAGAGTGATCTCATATCTTTCTTTTTCTCCTCTTCAACGGGATAAAATCACAATATCATGGGTATAACAGTTTATTATATTTCATACATCTTACAAATCACATATTTGTAATAAACAATTCAGTGGTTTTTAGTATATTCACAAAATTGTACCATTATCATAATCAATTTGAGAACATTTTTATCACACCATAACAAGCTCCATACCCTTAAGGAATAAGCCTCACCTTTTCCTGCATCTCCTCGGATCTAGGAAACACTAATGTACTTTCTGTCTATAAATTTGCCAGTTCTGGATATTCTATATAAATGGAATTTCATCATATATGATCTTTTGTGATCATGTGATCTTTGACACATGTATGTGTGTATATTTGTGTTCGTGTATTTTGCTGAGGATTGAATCCATGGTCTTGTGAATGCTAGTCAAATACTGTACAATTGAGCTACATTACAGTCCTGTGTTTGGCTTATTTTTTAGCAAGCCTTCAAGGTTGATTTGTGTAGCTTGATTCAGTACTTGATTCCTTTTTATTGCCAAATAATATCATGTTATATGGATCTATACTACATGGATATTTGGATTGGTTCCACTTTTGTACTATTAAGAGTAAAGTTACCATGGACACTCATGTATAAGCTTTAGGTAGAAGTTTTCATTTCTCTTGACTATATACCTTATAGGGAAATTGCTAGGTCTTTCGATAACTCCATATTTCACATTTGAATAGTGGCCACATTATTTTCCTAAGTGTTTATGGCATTTTACATTCTTACAAATAACATGAGGTTCCAATTTATCTATTGTAGTGTCAAGTTTTATTTTCCAAGTAGCTAATGATATTGAGCATCTTCATGTATTCATTGTCCACTAATACATCCTACTTAGAGAATTCTCTGTTAAAATCCTTTTTGCTAGGCATGATGGTTTATGCCTATAATCCTAGCACAACTGGAGGCTATAGCAAGAAGGTGTTATATTTGAGGCCAGCATGGGCTACATGGTCCAACTGGTCTAAAAAAAAAAAGAAAATAACATAACAAAAATTTTTTTCTCCATTTTAAAATTAGATTATCTTGTTACCTAGTTGCAAGAATATTCTGCATATGTGTTCCTTATGAGATCTATGATTCGCAAATATTTTTCCTCATTCTATAAATTTTACTGTTAGTATTAGAGCTCAAATTCAAGGCCTTACACTTATTAGACAAGTTTTCTACCATTTCACCATGACTTTACCCATTGTTTGTTTTAATTATTTCTCAGATGGAGTCTTACATTTTTGCCTAGGCTGACCTTGGACAGTGATCCTCCTATCTATGCTTCCCACCTGGCTGGGATTTCAGGCATGGAACCACATGTTGTTTTTTTGTTGTGGAGATGGGATCGTCTAACTTCTTATATGGACTGGTCTTGAATTGCAGTCTTTCTGAATTCCATCTTCCGCATAACTGGGATCATAGATAGCCACTGAATGGCTTCAATTAATATAAATATTTTTTCTTTTATTACTGGTGCTTAGTAAACTGTTGCCAAATCTAAAATCATTAGGACTTTTCCCTGATCTCTTTCAAAAGTTTTATAGTTTTAGGTTTTGCATTTAGGTTTCAATACATTTTATAAATAGTATAGAGTAGGGTACTTCATTTTTTGTTGTTATTCCTGTTGTGGATAATTATTCCAACACCATTTCTTCTCTGTTTCTTTTGTTTTTTGCTTGTTTGTTTCAGTGTGGGAGTTTAACCCAGGGACTCATCTAGGCTACACAAGTGTTGCCCCACTCCAGTGCCATTTCTTGAAAAAAAATTTTTTTCTTTCTCCCTTAACAGCTTTTGAAAAATAAGTTGAGTATGAATATATATTGTATGTCAGATATATAAGTGATTATTTCTGCATTTTCAATTCTCTTCTGTTGATCTATATAACCTGAGAGTTTGCTGTTTGCACAAAAGTGAATTAAGCATTTCATATTGACTTTCAAACTGAGCTCAGGATGAAAAACAAACCCTATTAGAAATTGAATTTCTCTCTTTTTAAGGTTAACAAAAAAGATAGCAGTGCTGTTTCGAACAAAATCATGTAATAGAATTCTGACTTTTTTGTGCTTACTTATTTACTAGATTATGATGTGTTCTATGTATGGTATATGCAAAGTGAAGAATATAGACCTTAAATTCAAAATCATTGTAACAGCATACAAGGATCTTCCTCATGCTGTTCAGGAGGTAGGTAATTGTTCATGGTAAGGTGTTGTTTTTTTTTGTAACTCCATATAATTTCACTCATTAGTTGGGTCATTTCCAATTTTATTATGTATATTCATAAATCACATTTGTACTTTCATATGATATGTTAATAGTAACTAAAATGAAATTGGAAAGACAAGGCAAATTATGAAACTATCCAAATTCATAGTTTAAAGTTAGGTCTATTTCTGTACAATAAGGTGGATGTTTGTAATAAACTTAACGTGCGTGATAAGACATTAGATAAGTTTTTATCTTTCCATAAGAAAAGACAGTGTAAACGCAAGTGTTCTGGCACACATCTATCATCCCAACTGCTCAGGAAGAATTTAAGGTCAGCCCAGGCAAAATTAGCAAGACTGTCAAAAACAAAATGGACTAATAGAGCTCTCTGAGTTCAAGTCACAGTACTAAAAAGTAAAGAAAAAATAAACATTAAAATTTTTCAGAGTTAATGCATTTTGTATTTTCAAGTTTCCCTTCCCTATGGAGAGAAGCTGTAATGGTAAACAGCATTTATTATGGCACACATTTTATATGCTTTTTTCTAGGTTAGTTTTCCAATTTATTATTGTTTTTTTTCCCCTCCCTCCCTACTTCCTTTTCCCTCCCCCTCTTTTCCTTCCCTCCCTCCCTTTCTTCCCAGTACTGAGGATTCAACTCAGGGCTCCTACTCTTACTTAGCTTTTTTACTCAAGACTGGTCATCTACCACTTGAGCATACCTCCACTTACAGCTTTTTGGAGATTAACTAGAGATAAGAATCTCTCAGACTTGCTGCCAGGTCTGGTTTGAACAGGCTGAGCCCTCCTGTTTGGAGTTTTCAAAAGCAATACAAACCACATTGCTTTCTACATATTTGGAGTTATTTTCTTTCTTCCTTTTTTTTTTTCCCACAGCGCCACTTCCGGCTTTTTTTTTTCTTTTTACTTATGTGGTGCTGGGGAATCGAACCCAGGGCCTCATGCATTGCAAGGCAAGCGCTCTACCACTGAGCCATCTTCCCAGCCCCTGGACTTATTTTCTAAATCTAGCATTTAAATTATGTATCAGAGTCATACTAAAATTTTCTCAGCCTTTACCTAATTTAAATAAGCTGGGCATTTGGCATATACCTATAATTCTAGCACTCAGAAGACCTAAAGCCAGAGGATCCCAAGATTTAGGCCAGTTTGGGCTGTATAACAAGACCCCGTGTCTTAAAGCAGCATAAACAAGGTAAAATTTAGGTAAAAGGTAGCTATTTAAACAAAAAGAGTGCTTTTACTAAATGTCTACTTCTTGCAATGGATACTTCCTGAACCTGCACACTTTCTGAACCTGCACGCTTTCTGAACCTTTTGGTTGTTGGGATGCAGGGAGGCACAGGCTAAGATGTGGCTTAAAATATCGGTGTTTAATATCATTGTATTTTGCTCAGCTGTGTCCCCTTAATTTCCATTGCTTCCAAATTTCCTTCTGGGACATTTCTCTTAATGTATACCAGTATAATCCTAGTGTATAGCACTATAATCCAAGCCTAAGAGGGCTTTTCAGATTGTTATTTCTTATTTAATATATTCTTCACTAGTTAAAAAATAATGCAGGGTATTAGAAAAGAAAATCTAAAAAGGTTCTTACATTAATTTAACAAATGTTTTTATTCTTCCTTAGACATTCAAACGTGTTTTGATCCGTGAAGAGGAGTATGATTCCATTATAGTATTCTATAACTCAGTTTTCATGCAGAGGCTGAAAACAAATATCTTACAGTATGCTTCCACCAGGGTATGTTGAAAGCACCCTTTGGGTGGGAAATTTTAATGGTAAAGTAATAAAACTACTACAATATTTGATGATCTGTTTTGTTTTGTTCTAGCCTCCTACCTTGTCACCAATACCTCACATTCCTCGAAGCCCTTACAAGTTTCCTAGTTCTCCCTTAAGGGTCCCTGGGGGAAACATCTATATATCACCCCTGAAAAGTCCCTATAAAATTTCAGAAGGTCTGCCAACACCAACAAAAATGACTCCAAGATCAAGGTTAGTGTTTTCTTTTCATGGAGAAGTACTAAAAAATAAGGAAATTGTTTTCATCTCAACATAAAAAGGTAAAACTTTCTTTATTTAAAACAAGTTAACCCCTTGAGTTTTTAGTTTGCTTATTTATAGTGGTATGGTAAGAATTGCGGGGGGGGAGCAGGGGAAATACTGTTTACTTAGATTGTTTTGCAATTTGAGTTATCAACTTTCCCTGTTACTAGTCTCTTCTTTGGTAAAAACTCTGAGAATCAATTTTCCTTTTTGGTTTTGTGTATGTGCTAGTAATAGGGCTTGAACTCAGGTTCCAGGCACTGTCCCTGAGCGATTGTTGCTCCAGGCTAGGGCTCTACCACTTGAGCCACACCTTCACGTTCCCAATTTGTTTTTACTTTTAAAAACACTTAATTTTTTAAAATTTTTATCTTTAAATTGTTATTATAAAGGTGGTATACAAAAGGATTACAGTTTCATAAGTCAGGTAATGGGTACATTTCTTTTTTGGACAATGTCACCCCTTACTTTGCTCTCTCCCAGTTTTTCCTTCCCATACCCACCCACAAGTTACACAGTTCATTTTCATCATAATTCTAGTGAGTGCTTCTGCTGCTTTTGTTCATCCTTTGTCCCTCCATTTCTGTACCCCTTTACCCCTAAAGACAGATAAACAAATAAGACAAAAAGATAGCAACAAAGTAAAAAACTCTTGTTTCTATTTCCTGTCGATAAGTTTTTCTTCCTTCCTTCCTTCCTTCCTTCCTTCCTTCCTTCCTTCCTTCCTTCCTTCCTTCCTTCCTTCCTTCCTTCCTTCCTTCCTAGTTGTGGGGCCTGAACTCTGGACCTGGATGCTGTCCCTCAGCTCTTCAGCTCAAAGCTAGCACTCTACCACTTGAGCCACAGCACCACTTTGGGCTTTTTCTGCTTATGTAGTGCTGAAGAATCGAACCCAGGGCCTCATGCATGCACTCTACCACTGAGCCACTTTCCCAGACCCTCATTTCGATAAATATCATTTTATATGATCAGAGGCAAATAGACACTGCACTTTTGAAACAATTTGTTGTTGTTGTTGGTCATGGCATTTGAACTCTGGGCTTGGATGCTATCCCTCAGCTCTGCACTCTACCACTTGAGCCACAGCACCACTTCCGGTTTTCTGGTGGGTTTTATTGGAGATGGTAGTCATATGGACTTTCCTGCCCAGGCTGGCTTTGAATTGCGATCCTCAGATCTCATCCTCCTGACTACCTAGGATTACAGGCGTGAGCCACTGGCGCTCAGCCCACTTTCATATTTTTGAAAGTAGCCAACAAAGTAGCTTGCTTTAGCTTAAGAAACTTTATTCTATAGTTTTTTTTTAAATTTTCTGTAAACTCTTTGTAGATTTCATTCATTTTGCTTGTTAAAAAGTAGAGATGAATTACTAAATGTTTGTTATTATCAATTAAGTCTTTAGAGGTCTGTCCCTAATTCTGCCTCCTTACCTTACCGTGGGCATATCTTTATATCTGCTTCAGAAGGCACTGTGGAACAGGGGAATGAGTGTGAAAAGCTGTTTTAAATTCCTAGATGAAAGGTGGTACAACCACAAGTCATTATATTATCTTTTCTGGCTTTGAAGCCCTTCAATTGACTAATTATGTGTTATCATGGGCTATTTGAAATGGCTTTATTTGCATGAAGTAAGAGGCAGATTAGCTAAGATAGTTAATATCTCAGCTCAGAAATTGTCAGCTCATATAGTTATATGTACTGGGTGAGAAAAACAAGAGGGGAGTATATTTAACCTTTTAGGATATATCTGTGTAGTATGTTTAATTACATTAGTAATACATACTTAAAAGAAAAATCTCAAACTACAGAAAAATGTTAAATGAAAAATAGTTGAAAATACGATGTAAGTGTTCTTTGTGACCCTCGAGCCTCCTTTACTTTTTTGGAGTCCTTATTGATGAATGTCTGTATTCTGACATCTATAACTCACATAGTAAGCTGTTAAGAGTCACATCATGTCTATTAACTAAATTTATACAGTCTCATGTTACATGAAAATATAGTCTATCATTCTTTTTTTTTTTTTTTTGATGGTGGGGCTTGAACTCTGGGCTTGGGCACTATCCCTGCGCTCTTCAGCTCAAGGCAAGTGCTCTACTGCTTGAGCCACAGTGCCACTTCTGGTTTTCTAGTGGTTAATTGGAGATAAGAGTCTCATGGACTTTTCTGCCCAGGCTGGCTTTGAACCGCAGTCCTCAGATCTCAGCCTCCTCAGTAGTTAGGATTATAGGTGTGAGCCACTGGCGCCTAGCCTCTATCATTCTTTTTAAAGTATGATAATATATATTATGTTGATAATGTTAGCTATTTTCTAATAATGAAATCACTTTTATGTTGGTAATCTCTAGCAAAAAAAGTCACATACTGATATCCTAAACTGATAAATCATTATTTAGGCATTAAGAGATCATGTTAACTACTCTGTTTACTCAGCATATTTCAGTATTCTAGCTAATCAAATATTATAACTGCCATGATAGTCATTTATCAAGGACATAGAGGACAATAAAATATATATTCTTTAGTTCCATGTGCATATTTTAAAGCTGTTGTTGAACCATATCAATGCTTTTCTTCAGCCTTATTATCAAGAACATTATATGGTTAAAAGGCAAATAGACTAGTAGGGATTTCTGATTCTAGAATATATTATAAACAACATGTATTAATATAGATAGTAATTAGAAGTCTAATTGTTATGGAACACTGTTTGGCCCAAATGGAACTTAAATTCCCTCCTCCCACTGCTGCCTGATCTAGACTGTGAGGAGACCTGCAAATGAAAATCTTTTTTTAAGTTTGGTAATTTACCTGTTGATTTATGAATACACATGAAACTTTTTTACCCTTTGTAAATGTGGGCAATGGCAGGATATGTTCTTGAAGACCTATAGTTCTTGGTTTGAAAATCTAAGCAGGCTGGGATTGCAGCTCAGTGATAGAGTGCAAACTTAATATGTTGAGACCCTCAATATGATTCCCCAGCACCACATTTTTTAAAAGAAAAATCTTAAATGACCAGCTGAGCTTTTGATCAGCATTATTAGAATAACTCCCTAGTTAAGATAATTTATCAATGGTTCTAGGTAGAGAACATTCTGATACAGTGTTTCTGATAGTACAGAATGATGTGTCTCTGTTCATCTCTGTACTCTGTAAAATCTGTATATGATTTTCTTCACTAATTTGTATTTCCTCTTAACTTGACAGAATTTTAGTATCAATTGGTGAATCATTTGGGGTAAGTATTTTCTTTCTATGAAGTATATATGATTCAGAATATTAAGTAAAAAATTGACAGTATTGTACAATTGCTTTTATTGGCTGCTGTTAGCCCTTATTTGATGAATACCTATGTGTTGATACTACTATATATGGTACAGCTATATAAGTAATTCAAGGGCTGGGAACGTGGCTTGCCTAGCATGCATGAAGCCCTGGGTTCGATTCCTCAGTACCACATAAATAGAAAAAGCCAGAAGTGACACTGTAGCTCAAGAGCTAAAGTGCTAGCCTTGAGAAAAAGTAGCTCAGGGACAGTGCCCAGGCCCTGAGTTCAAGCCCCAGGATTGGCGAAAAAAAAAAAAAGCAATTTGAGATTCTGTTACTTGAATTTATAAATGTTAGGGCTGGGAAGGTGGCTCAGTGGTACAGCGCTTGCCTTGCATGCATGAGGCCCTGGGTTCGATTCCCCAGCACCCTATAAGCAAAAAGAAAAAACGCCGGAAGTGGCGATGTGGCTCAAGTGGTAGAGCACTAGCCTTGAGCTGAAGAGCTGAGAGACAAGCTCCCAGACCCAGAGATCAGACCCCACAACCGGATCCAAAAAAAAAAAAGAATTTATAAATATTGTTATTCAAACACCTCATTTAGGCATTTTAAATAGAATTTAGAAAGCATCTGCTGGGCACTGGTAGCTCACGCTTGTAATCCCAGCTACTCAGGAGGCTAAGATTTGAGGATTATGGTTTAAAGCCAGCCTAGGCAGGAAAGTCTGTGAGACTTATCTCCACTCAACAACCAACAAGGTAGAAGTAGAGTTGTGGCTCAAGTGGTAGAGCATTAGCCTTGAGCAAAAAAAACTCAGATATAGAGTCCAGGCCCTGAGTTCAAGCCCTAGAACCTACACCTCCCTCTCCCCCCCCCCACAAAAAAGGACAGTATCTAAGATTTATTTTAAAATCAAGTTTAATTTTAAATGATACAGTTGATGAACTTTCAAACATTCCTGAGATTATATAAATGTATACATTCATGTATATACATATGCATATATGTGAACTATTTTTACTCAAAACAGTCTTGGCACCAAATTATGTGTACTCTGTAACCCTCAGAACACAAATAATGTCCTACCATTTAATTCAGTTTTGATGCTGATTATCCAGTTATCATAAGAACTCTACAAATTCAAGAGCTTCACAAGACTGCTCTTGCTGTAGACACCAAGTCACAAGTGTTAGGCTTCAGGTAATACCACACTTCGGTTCGACATGGCTAAAGGTTGAGGAATTTCTCAAGGACCTTCACCTTTCAGATTGAATTATTTGTTAGTCTGGCTCACAAAACTCTGGAAAATGCTTTACTTATCATCATCAGTGTATTACAAAGACACAGCAACTTCTGTCCCAGAAGAGTTGCCAAGTCTGAAGCTCTCCCAGAAGTTCATGATTTTAACATGACTGAGTGACTCAGACTCCAGGTCCTCTCCCACCCTGGAGGTTAGAAAGTATGGCTGAGTTTGCTAGCTTCTAATCAAAGCCAGTCTCTATCATAAAACTAGGGGTTCAGCAAGTATCTCTTCATTAGATCAAAAGATGGTTCTATCATCCTTATTACTGAGGAAATTCCAAGGGCTTTCTGTGGTCAGTGCCACGAACAGGGGACAAAGACCAAATATTTCTGTGAACCACATGTATATGTATATAATCTCATAAGAACATTTCCAAAACAGTTTGACTGATTTGAATTGTGATACTGTAAATTATGTAGTAACCATCATATCCAAATAGCACCAGATTGCCTCTAACTAGTGGTCTCCTTCCTCTTCCCTCCTCCTTTTACTTTTCCTTCCTTTCACATCTAGGATATCTTCCTCTGGTAAATTAAGAATTAGTTACATGAGACCCTGCCACAGTGAAAGAGGCAGAACTTGATATGATGGTCTTTGTTTTAAAAGATCCAAGGGCAAGCATAGCTTTGAAACAGTTGCTTTAGGCTGAAAACCCCTACTTTGGTTAGCTTTTCATTAGCATCACTAGCAGCATATCACTAATTTGGTAGACCTGTATTCCGTGTATGTTGTACCACCACTCCTCTAGAGAGCTCATAGGCTTATGAGAACACTGCTTGGATTACTTATTGCTGCAAAATAAATTACTTCCCAAATTAGTTATTTATCTTGGTTTCTTTCTATGAGTCAGAAACTTGAGCCTAGCTTCACTGGGTCCAGGATTTCTTACAAGGCTATGATCAAGATGTCCACCAGTTGTTCTCTAGGTTCAACTGGAAGATCCTCATAATTGTGGGATGATCCTTAAAGGCTCTCAGCTGAAGTCATATGTTTCTTACCACTCAGCCTGTCCATAATACTGCTTGTTGTTCCTATAGTAAGCTTTCCAAAGAAGGATAGAATTTACAGTCTTCCGTGAGCACATACTAGAAATGACATTCTATCACTTTTGCCAAGTTACTTGGGTTAGGAGGAATATAGTGTTAAAGCTCTACTAAGCTCAGTGGGAAAAGATCACATAAGCTATGAGTACTAGGAGGTGGAGATCACCAGGAGCTATTTGAGAGACTGTGAACTACACTGCCCTAAATGAAGTAACTGGAGAGTAAAGCTTGTATGCTCGATTACTAACTGTCAGACTACACATTTCAAATGCTTAGCACTCTGATGTGTATTTGAAGATGGACCATAGCTGTCAGACATCACAAAGGAAATGTGGAGCTATGCAAGAAGATTTGAAGCTGGACAAGCATAAAACAGAGGCCTTCAAATGTTTTTATTTGCCATAACCTCTCAAACAATGAGAAAACATCTATACTTCCATATCTTTAATCAGGCTAACTAAAATAATCTTAATAAGGGCAAACAATTTAACTTTGTCTTATTGAATATGTGCTCTAAATATATTTTCCATCAAAACTTGTTTTGTATTTGATTTTTTAAAAAAATAAATCACAACTGACAAAGCCAATCCTGTTATCAATGAGTCAAGTCATATTTAATTTCTATCAGAAAGCATGGTTTTATTTCTTTAGTTCAAATAAACATGTAAATATACATGGTTGAGTCACCTCTCTGGTTCTAAACAAATAGCTAAGAAATAGAAATTTTCCATGTATGTACCCATTGAATAAAATGCATGGTATGCCCACTTTGTACTTCTTACCAGCTTTTTTGCTATTTGCTATGACAGTATTCTCCCTAGGAGGATATCCGAAGTTATTTCAAAAAATATTGCCTCAACTGAAATTCAGAAATGTTTAAAGTTTTTCATTAAAAACCTTTATGAATCAGGAGATTTTCAACAAATACTATACCATTGTAGTTATGGTACATAAACTGTATGGCTTTTCAACATAAAACTCATGAAGTAAATAAAAAATGACTATCCATTGGGCACATCACCTCTTACCAGATTCTTATGATTTTCCTTCCTATTATGTAGCATTCTAAAAAAGGTTCTGTCAAAAATAAGGTTCCAGAAAACTGACTTGGCTCTACTACTTTTGTGGAGAAACCCATTTATTGTGGAGTGAGTTCTAGCCACGAGGAGATAGGATATCAGAGTGTTGGAGGAGTAGCAGCCTTGGGAAAATGACAGGAAGAGTGGATATTTAATGCGAACAGAATTGGTATAGTTATTATGATTTTGAAGTTTTTAAAATATTTTATGGGGTTGGAATTTTTAAAGTTATTTCTGTTTAATTTTTGACACAAACTGTAATTTATAGTCATTAACTTCAAAATGCTGGCATATATTTGACATCAAGAACTCTGTAATTTGCAGACTTCTGAGAAGTTCCACAAAATAAATCAGATGGTATGTAACAGCGACCGAGTACTCAAAAGAAGTGCTGAAGGAAGTAACCCTCCTAAACCACTGAAAAAACTGCGCTTTGACATTGAAGGGTCAGATGAAGCAGATGGAAGGTAGGAAGTGTCTTGGAATGCTTCCCGGCAGCTGAACTGAACTGACCTCTGGAGAGCCAGAGTTCCAGTACAGCTTCTAATGTCCTCCAGACCTTGTCATGACAATGGTCCCTGTTTGTGACAATGGCTCAAAATAGAACATAATGTCAGCAGCCCATGTAAGAGCACAATACAAATCATACACCATCTACCCATACTGACGACATTAGTTGTTAACCACAGTGAATGAGTTTTCTATTTAATATTTTTGTTTCAAAGGGATTTCTTGTCATCGTCTTACCTATACACACAAGGTTTTATAGCTCTCAGAGGTAGGAGGGACCTTCACCCTCCAGCATCACTGTTGAGATTCAGGATTATCACTCACTTTCCCACACATATCCCCTATGTGCTTTATACAACCACTCTTTAAATATTTGTGACTGTTTCTGAAAGCTAAAGTGTTTTTTTTGGAATATATAATGACGTAACCCTAAGGACAGGTGGCACAGTGGTATATATATGCCACCTCCTTGGAGTTCAGAAACAGGTTTTTAAATTTTTAAGTAGCGTGAATAGTGCTACTTACATTATTAATGATTAAAGTTTAAAACACTGAATCCAGCTGGGAACTCATGGCTCACACCTATAATCCTAGCCACTCAGGAGGCTGAGATCTGAGGATCACGGTTTGTGGCCAACCCTGGCAGGAAAATGGATGAGACTCTTATCTCCAATTAACCATAAGAAAACCAGAAGTGGCACTGCAGCTCAAAGTGGTAGATCACTAGCCTTGAGCAAAAAAGCTCAGGGACAGTGCAGGCCCTGAGTTCAAGACCCATTACTGACAAAAAAAAAAAAATCTATCTAATTTCCTTATAGTCTATTCATTAAATAATCTCTTCAGTAGATCAGGTTGAACCCATCCATTCATAAAGCTTCAGATTTATACAAACATACTGTTCTATATGAGTAATTGATTATGCTTTCTTTGACCTACATTCTTTATTTTGTGGTAAGTAAAGACAAAGGAACTAATTTGCTGTCTGCCAGTTTATAGTCATGCCTTTGAAAACTAAGATATGTTTTTTTAAAACTGTTTTAGTAGACAATGGTGTGTAAAATCATGTGAAAATGAATTCAGACTTATGAAATGGACACCTTGTTAATCTTCTCAGTGTCAATTTCACAGTATAGTTCACATAAGAGACGAGTTGATGGCATATTGAGTAGGTTTACTCTGTAAACCACACACACAAAAAGAAAACTCATCATTTTTTAAACTATTGATAAAAATTTTGTTAGTTTTAATATTAGATTTACAAAGTCCTACTCTTGAAAAATGTTAACTCCTGGGTTTTATAATACATTTATGAAGCAAATTTAAATGTGTGACATTTCTAGATGGCTTGTAAACTTTGGAGACTAACAATTTCTTACTAAAACAATAGGATAAATGATATTGAATATACCATAATTATTCATTTTTAGCTTTCTGTTTATACTTTAATATGAAATATTTTGCCTTTTTAATCTGCAGTAAACATCTCCCAGGGGAGTCCAAATTTCAACAGAAACTGGCAGAAATGAGTAAGTACTTATCATTTTCCTTTATAAAAGAAAAAAAAATTTTGTCGGTTGTAGGGTTTGAACTCGGCCTGGGCGCTGTCCCTGAGTTCTTCAGCTCAAGCCTAGCACACCACCCTTGAGCCACAGCGCAACATCGATTTTCTGGTGGTTAATTGGAGATCAGAGTCTCATGGACTTTCCTGTCAAGGCTGGCTTTGAACTGCCATCCTCATCTCAGCCTCCTGAATAGCTAGGATTATAGATGAGAGCCACCAGAGCACTACAAAAGAAATTATTTTTATTGCAAAGAAGTTTCTCACCTTATTAACAGATTACATACATTATTCCTTCAAGTAGCAGACTTATAATACATTTACAATATAAATCATCAGGTGTATATGTATCTCATACATTTGTGGACTAAATGTGAGTACAAAGTGAAGGTCATCAGCACCCTAAGACCTTTCATTCAAGAAGACTTAAGAAGTAAAACATTGCCTACCACATCCAAGGGACTCATGCTCAGGAAGCACTCTCAACAGGATCATCCTGGAAGCTCTTCCATAATGTGAGGTACAGGGAAAGGCTTCACAAACCTACCATGTCTAAACTTCCTCACACTTGAATTTTTAGTTTTGCAATTGTTGGATTTGCCTAAGTTGCAGAAATGTTGGTTTTGGGGTTTTTTTTTTTGTCCATCATGGGGCCTGAACTCTGGGCCTGGGTGCTGTCCCTCAGCTCTTCAGCTCAAGGCTAGTGCTCTACTACTTGAGCCACAGTGCCACTTCTGGCTTTTTTCTGCTTATATGGTGCTAAGGAATCGAACCCAGGGCCTCATGCATGCAAGGCAAGCGCTCTACCACTGAGCCACCTTCCCAGCCCCTGGCCATCAAAATTTTGATAAAGAACATCAAGTCCATTTTCTAAGTTTCAGAATGAGGCAGATTTAGAATGCTAGGCTAGGAGTATCACTCTGTGGTAAAATACTTGCTTGTCTAGAGTGGACAAGCTCCTAGGTTCTATTTCAAGGAATCCTAAGACAAACGAAACTCTTCTCTTAAGCTATTCTGAGACTTTAAAAAATTAGTCCAAATAAGTAGACAGGAAGTACTACAGGAAAGAGGTCAGTGTTTGCTGACCACTGCTGCTTGTCTCAGAAGTGTATTCATGAGTATAGCTGCTGTCACATCCATTAATTAAAAAAAAGAACAGGGGGACTTGGAAAGCAGAAAAAGATTTAGTAAGTGCCATTCCTGCATCAGAAAATATATCAGGGAGAGTAATACCAGGGATAGGCTTTGGACTCATTTGTACAAACTAACCTTGAGATATGAAGTATTTAAAATAATGCTTTTGTTTGAATTTTGAACCTTTTTTCCTAAGTGTGCTAATATGTTACAATAACAACTGAATATACTAAGCATTTACATTTTGTAGGCTTTACATCAACTAGTATATTTGTTAGTTATCTTGGTAGTTGTAGCTTTTCCCCAAGTACATGAAAATGGATATGAAGCTTCTAATCAAAATTATCTCTTGTAAACATTGAGAAGCATTTTCGAGCTCACAAACATACATTTAAAAAGGGATAGAAGGCTCTAAAAACATGTCTATTGCCTCAGAAGAATTTTGTGGCTGCACTCCGTCCAGTTCCTAGTGACACAGGAGCTAAGATGTTGACTTTCCTTTGCCAGGCTGAAGTTCGCAGTCTTTGTACTGGAGACAAGCAATGGGAGCTTTAACTGCTAAGGCCAAGTTAGGCTTTCTCCAGAAGACCTGTCCGCTTGCCTCTGGCGTTCAGGAAAGATCATCACATGGTGCTAGATTGCCCAAGTGGAACAGGAGCCGTGGTGCAGCTCCTGACTATTTCCTTTCTTTTCCAGAAATGAATATTTCTTGTGTTTCTTCCTTCCTGTTTTCTTTACTTCCTTCCTTTCTCTTTTCTGGACTGAGAGTCCGGAACTTGAATTTGGGGTCCTTCTCAGAAAGCTTTATCCCTTATTATTTTGTCTTATGAGACCAAGTCTCATAGTTCATGCTGGCTTTGAACTCAAAATTTTCCTTTCTCAGCCTCCCAAGTGATGTTTATTACAGGTATATACTACCACAAACGCACCCTTTGTTTTTTGTAGCACCAGAGTTTGCACTTGGGGTATTCTGCTTGTTAGGCAAGTCCTTTACTGCTAGAGCCATAACTCCAGTGTGCATGCGTGCATGTGTATGTGTATGTGTGTTTTCAAATAAAGAATTCTTGCTGGGCTGGGAATGTGGCTTAGTGGTAGAATGCTTGCCTTGCATGCATGAAGCCCTGGGTTCAATTCCTCAGTACCACATACACAGAAAAAAGCAGAAGTGGCACTGTGGCTCAAGTGGTAGAGTGCTACCCTTGAGCAAAAGAAGCTCAGGAACAGTGCCCAGGCCCTGAGTTCAAGTCCCAGGACTGGCAAAAAAAAAAAAGAATTCTTTGCTACCTCTAAAGTTATGGACTTAAATAAATAATTTGTTTCAAGATGTTCCTGTCCAATTTAATTTTGTAATACCTGCAAGGGATCTCCATATACAAGCCACCTGGTAGCTTTGTAAAGAATACCACCACTCACTCCAGCAGAGCCAGCAGCTAGCCCATACTTCTAGTTTGCTCAAATTCATGCCAAACTTGACCTCAAAGTGGGGCATATCTGGGAATGTGCAGAACCATCTTTTGGTATATCAAAGGAAAGAAGTACTATTTATTTTTATCTCCTTTTACTGTTTATTTGAGGTATATATTTTATAGTTTGTATGCACAGCAATTCAGACTGAGAGACAGGCAAATAGTCTGGTGGCACATGTTTGGAAAAAGTTTTACTGAGAGAAAATAGGTATTTCAGTGGTCTTGCATTTGCTAGGCAAGTGCTCAATTACTTGGGGCATGCCTCTAGTGATTTGATTTTAAAAGTTTAGCTGAGCATGGTGGTATACCTGTAATCCCAGCACCAGGGATGCTGAGGAGGGAAGATTGACAGCCTGTGCTATATATCCAGAGCCTGTTTCACAAAATAACCTTAGAGACCACTGTGGGGAACATTCTGAACTTCATCAATATGATATGCATATAACCTATATAGCAGCCCTTTCCAACTAACCCAGTGCCCTCAACACTATTAACAGTTCTTCATCCTCATTTCAGCATCTACTCGAACACGAATGCAAAAGCAGAAGATGAATGAGAGCATGGATACCTTGAACAAGGAAGAAAAGTGAGGATCTCAGGGCCTTGGTGGACACTGCATACACCTCTGGCTTCACCATCTCTCCAGGCCCTCTCCCTGGTTCTGTTTACAGCCCATGAAACATCTCCAGCTTTGTAGATAATAGAAGGTGCAGATGTAAGTCACATTTGTGCGTGGTAATTCCTAAGCCACTTTTGATGTTGTGGTCAATGGTATAAAGATTTATTACACAAGATTGAGAATCTTGTGTAAACCATGCCATTTAAAAAGTACTTCAGATTTTTGCATTCCCAAAGTAAAATGGCTCTGCTTTATGAGTAATGAGGCTGGCTCTGGAGTAGCGTCCTAACAGGCCATGCCCGTCTGACTACTTTGCCTTCCCTTGTAGCATATGTGTGATGTTTGCTCTTGTTTTTATTAATTTATATGTATATTTTTTAATTTAACATGAACACCTTTAGGAAATGTCTCCTGTCTTCCAAATGCAATTGACTGCCTACCACCCACATTATCATAAACTGTAAAACACAGTAGAAACTAGGAAAAAATTACTAATTTCTACATGTTAGACTTTTAGTATTGGAATCTGACTTGACATGTGCTTGTATTACAAACTTTGGCTTTTTAAATACAAGCAAAACACAGAGTTTAAACGTAATACTATCATACTACTGAAACAGATTTCATACCTCAGAACTTATTAGAACTTACCCTTTTCTTCATCCAACTTATTCTTTTTTTAAAAAAGGATTATTGAAAATACTCTTGAAACTTTTAAAAAACCATTCAGATCACTGAATTTATATATATATATATACCCATCTAATACTTGAAAAAGTAGTGTCCAGCCAGAGCTTTGCCACAGGGGACCCTGATAATAGTATGTCTCAAGTGCACTTTCTAAGCTTTCTGGGTCCTGAAAAATCATGACATAAACTAATTTTATTCCACAAACAGACTGTTAACTGTAGGAGCCTTAATTTTTCCCCCTTGGATATTAAGGACAAATCACTGCAACAATGAGTCTGCCATCCTAGATTTGGGAAGGTTTGTGTTTTCTCTGGAATGATACATTCCATGTATCTTTTGAAGTCAATATGGTCTAACACTGGCACATTTCAAAGCCACATTTCTAGTTTGAAGTTGAAAGTATTCAAAGGTCTTTTTAAGTTAGGTATTATGTTTCTGATTTGTGCAAAATTTTCAATTAAAATAGCCGTATTAGAAAAAGAGACGTTTTCTCCCTACCCCCATACCTAAAGGTGTATTTAAACTATCTTGTGTGATTAACTTATTTAGAGATGGTATAATTTAAAATAGGTGGTATTTAAGATAGTATCAATTAGCATTTAGGGAAATCACTTTGTCTAAACTCAGAGTTCTTTTTAAAAAGAAATCTGGTCTTATTTGTCAGAGAACAATTTTATTTTGTGCTTAAGTTTCAAGCTCACTATTTCAGTTACTTGGATAACAATGACATTAGCTTTACCCTATTTCTTCATTTAAAGTTTTGCATGAATATTTTACAGACAGATCAGTTCATTTTTAGGTCAAGGGCTTACCATATTTCTGGGTTGTTTGCTACTAAGCTGACATTAGAATTAGTGACAGAATTTTAGGAATTTCCAAGATCATGCATTGAAGTTTCTTCAGGCTTATCATATACTGCTTTATTGCCTTTTCTTTGTACTGGTTAAAACTGTACATTTAAAATTGCTATGTTACTATTTTCTACAATAGTTTGTCTATTTTAAAATAAATTAGTCGTTAAGTCTTAATGGTCTGGTGTGTGGTCTTTGTAATTATGTGAAGTGATGTTCTCTTCTGTATGTAAACTGTCTCCAAGTGTCTCATCCCCTCACAGCCTTTGATGGACTTGGATGATCCCCAAGTTTATTTTGCTAGACTTGACCTCTCCTCAGAAGTCAAAGTTCTCATAGCCAATCAAATTGTCAAATTCTTCCTGCTCCCAGCTTCTAGAGATTTAAATCAAGATCAAACAAAAAGTACTGGTTTCTATGCTACTCTTTCACCCTTTTACTAAACACTGTGAAAAAGCCTAACACTTAAAAGGAGTCCTCGGTTAACTCTTGTCTGGACCACTGCTTAATCTATTCATTTTTAAAATATAGAAATAAAATATAGAAAGTTGGGCTAGTGCCATGGCTCAAGTAGTAGAGTGCTTGCCTGAGGTCTGAGGTTCAATCTCCAGAAACAAGAAAAGGAAAATCTAGAATTCAAAAAACCAAATGCTTCTTTGTGCCACATCTGCCTGCCTGCCTGCCTGTCTGCCTGCCTGCCTGCCTTCCTTCCTTCCTTCTTTCCTTCCTTCCTTCCTTCCTTCCTTCCTTCCTTCCTTCCTACCTCCCTTCTTCCCTCCTTCCTCTTGAACTTGGTATCTGATGCTTGCTTTCACTCATTGGCTTGTGTCTACAACCTGAGCCATGCCTCCAACCCCTGCTGTCACAAATTATGTTGATGTCTAAATAGGCATGCATCCTTCTATGGTCTTGATCTCACATACTGGGAATATTCATATTTCTCTGTAGAAATGGAAGCAAATTTGATTTCTGGATATTATATATCATCTGTCTTACTATTTATTTAGTGGTGGTACTGGAGTTTGAACTCCAGGCTTAGGTTTGGTGGGCAAGTCTTTACCTCCACACCTCCAACCCCATACCATCATTTATAACATAAAAAAACAAACACTGAAATGTATTCAGCACTATGGATTTGAATTTACATAATTTCTCAAAACAGAGCTGTTCCTTCTGGAACAGAAATGTTTGCTACTGAAGGGAGAAAGGCAAAGAGGACAAGATGAAAAGTTGCATCTCAATAGGCTGTACTCCTGTTCATGATCTTACATGAAATGTATCACTTAGATTAAGTAAAAATCAAGGAGCTTCCAGGTGCTGGTGGCTCCTGCCTGTAATCCTAACTGAAGTCTAGAGGAACTTGATTTGAAGCCAGCCCAGAAAAAGGTTTTAAGATGCCATTTCACAATACCTAACAAAAAGCTGGGCTGTAGGCATGGCTCCAGTGATAGAGCATTAGCCAAGTAGGCCAAGCAAGTACAAGGCTCTGAGTTAATACCCCAGTCCCAGCAAAGGAAAAACCAAAGAGCCTAATGCTATCACCAAACATTTGTAGTCTAAATTACAAAAAAGTTCATCACTTATGGTAATCTATTTAGCATCCCAATGATTTAAATGTTATAATAACTTATAATAGAGACATTATTACATATAATAATATAGGATTGTATTGTACTTAAAGGATTATGTTATAGGATTATAAATAATAAAGGAGACATCCAAAATCATACATTTATTTTTCATTAAAAATTTTGGCACAAATGGATGAAGGTGTAACTCTTTTTACCTTCTAGTTCTATTATGTGGATAGTTTCATGAACCCTAGCCTTTAGAAGCATATTTATGTTCCTTTGTTTTGGGGCCAATATAGTATATACAGTATGAGTTAAGAGTCAGTAGACTTTTCCTTTGGATTCAGTAGTTTTTAAAGGGCATCTTGAAACGTTACCTCTAGAAAAACTGTACTAAGCTTCTGCCACAAATACCTTCTTCAGTAGAAACAGCATGGTGTCATAATTTGAACTTTAAGTGCCCTCCCCCCACCCCATCCTGGTAGAAGCTTGGTGCGGAGTAACACCACTGTGAGGTGGAGAAACCAGTGTTAGGGCCTGTTGGGAGGTTCTTTAGTCATGGGGACATATCCTTAAAGGCCCCATAGGACACCTCCCCCCCCACACACACACCTTCCGGTCTCCTTTTCTTTTTCTTTGTTCATGACATAAGCAGTTTGCTTCGCAGTAAACTCTACCATGATACAACACCCTCACAGAGGCCCAGAGAGATCTTGGACTGGAATCTACAGAACTGTGAGCCAAAACAAACCTGTTCTCTTTATATGGTAGCCCTCACATATTACAAAATAGAAATAAGATGCTGAATTATACATATGAGAATAGCATGGATAATGTGTACAGGATTAAAACAAACTTTTAAGTTGGGATAACCATCTATTTTTTTTGTTTTTTTTGTGTTTTTTGGTCGGTCGTGGGACTTGAACTCTGGGCCTGGGCGCTATCCCTCAGCAATTCAGCTCAAGGCGAGAGCGCTCTACCACTTGAGCTACAGTGCCACTTCTGGTTTTCTAGTGGTTTATTGGAGATAAGAGTCTCACGGACTTTCCTGCCCAGGCTGGCTTTGAACTGCGATCCTCAGATCTCAGCTTCCTGAGTAGCTAGGATTACAGGCATGAGCCACCGGTGCCCGGCTTCATCCATGTTTATAAATCTTTTTGCATGGGACTATACTTAAATATTAGTATTGACATTCTTATTAGACAGTCCAATATTTACTTCCTAAAGTGAAAATGTTACAATTGTTAAATGAAGTTACCGAGAAAATCTGTAGGATGTATGTTGCTATGTTTTGACAAAGACTGAATTTTTGAGTGTATGTGCCAGTACTCGGACCTGAATTCAGAACCTTATGCTCTTGCTTTGTTACTTTACTCAAGGCTGGTACTCTACCACTTTAGCCACACCTCCACTTCTTGCTCTTTGGTGGTTAGTCAGAGATAACCGTATTGGATTTGTCTGTGCAGGCTGGCTTCAAACTTCAGCCCTCAGATCTGAGCCTCCCAATTAGCTAAGATTACAGGCATAAGCCACCAGTACCCAGCTTAAGACTGAATTAAAAATAATAGTAAGATGCCAATGTTCACCTGAGAGCTGGAGCTCACACCTGTAATCCTACCTCCTGCCGGTGTGGGGTGGGGAGGGAGAATATTAGGAGGATCCCACTGCCAGTTTCAGGCATCCTGGGCAAAAGTTTTCTTAACCAATAGTTGGGTACAGTGGTGCACACCTTTCATAAACAGGATTGTGGAGCAGGAAAGCCTTACAAAAAGCAAGACCCTGTCACCCTCCTGTAACAGGAGCAAAGAGGCTGGAGGCATGAGTCAAGCAGTACAGTACCTGCCTAACAATTACAAATCCCTGAGTTCCAACCCTGCTACTGCAACATTTCTTTAAAAATTATTTAGTTCCCTTTCTCTTTATAATTCAACCCTACAGTCTGGATGATAGTACATTAAAGTAGCTGTAAACTAAACAGCACAATTTAATATGCTTTAACTTTGCTTTTAAAAATGAATCAAGCCAGGCTCCAGTGACTCATGCCTGAATAATCGAAAACTACTCAGGAAGCTGAGATCTTAGGATCACAGTTCAAAGCCAGCCCAGGCAGGAAAGTGAGAGATTCTTTAATTAATTACAGAAAAGCCGGAAACACTACTTCAGGCTCAAGTGGCCAAATGCTAGCCTTGAGCAAAATGATCATAGGGACAGCACCTAGGCCCAGAGTTCAAGGCCCAGGCAAGCAAAAAAAAAAAAAAAAAATCAAATAACTACCTTCACAAACTTCTACAGGTGGGGATTAGCACCTGTGTACATTAGGTGTGCAATATACACCTGTGTATATTGCACTCTTGACGTGGGAGCAAGAAAGAGAAAAAAAACTTAAGAGCTTAGAGCTTAAGAGGAGCTTGTATAAAAGAAAAGACCCAGTCAAGATCAGTCATTTCTGATATGATATCATTATCAAAATGTCCCTTTCTCTCCACCTACCACTAATAAGCAGAGTGATTTTCTGAGGCTTTCCACTCACTCATCTGTCAGAAGGAAATAAAGGAAGGAAATATGTTGCTTTCCCATATAAGTGTCAACAGCAAGCCTATGAAAACTAGAAAGAAAAATCTGGTTTGTTTTTTTTTTTTAGATAAAGTATCCACACCCAGACCACATGTCATCTCTCAAGCTGCTCTAAAATTAGTACTTCCTTGTTGTTTGGAGCCACGAGTTTTAAGAGCTAAACCACTTCTTTTCCTTGGTTAAACAAAAAACTAATTTAGGGAGCTTCTTAAACATACTCAACTAGAATACTCAAAGCTATATTCTGTATAGATTATGTTGTATACAGATAAGCATTAAGATAACAGTGCCCCCTACTTAAAGCTTAGGCAAAAAATAAAAAATTGACAGGTACAACCTGTACGGTAAGAGTGCTCACTGTGGAGTTTGGTACAGGGCAGTTCATTCCCCTTTGAATGTTTCAATTTTTACATGGAACAAACTCATAAAATAAAAAGGCATGAGAACTTAAGAAGATCTGATTGGAAATAGGCAGGAAAAGGAACCTAATGTTTCTGAAGATGCATGAAGCTGTAAAGGCCAAGTCTATTCAAGCTAGCATAAGAGGTTGAAGAATAAAGATCAAATAAATGAAGATCATGGTTGTCTTAATGGCTAGAAATGATGGCTATTAGTCCTTCCCACGTCGAAATGTTTCTTTGTTTGATAAAATAAAAAGTGAAGACAAGTGTGTGGCTCTTTAAAGAAAATAAGAATATACAGTGCCAGATCCTGAGGCACAGATCCTAGGCGAACTTAAAAAGACATTGTCTTGCTGGGCACCATGGCTCACACCTGTAATCCTAGCTACTCAGAAGGCTGATATCTGAGGATCGTGATTCAAAGCCAGCCCAGGCAGGAAAGTCCGTGAGACTCTTATTTCCAATTAACCACCAGAAAACTGGAAGTGGCACTGTGGCTCAAGTGGTAGAGCACTCACCTTGAGCTGAAGAGCTGAGAGACAGCATGTAGGCCCAGAGTTCAAGCCCCATGACCAACAACAACAAAAAAGATTTTGTCTCAAAATAAAAATAAAAATGGTACCTGTGGCTCATGCCTATAATCCTAGCTACTCAGGAGGCAGATCTGAGGATCATGGTTCAAAGCTAGCCTAGGCAGAAGAGCCCATGAGACTTATCTCCAATTAACCACTAAAAGCCAGAAGTGGTCATGTGACTCAAGTAGTAAAGCAGCTGGCTTGTGCAAAAAAGCTCAAGGATAGTGCCCAGCCTGAGTTCAAGCCCTAGGACCAGCACCTAAAAAAAAAAAAAAAAAAAAAAAATAGGGCTGGGGATGTTAGCTCAGTGGTAGAATTCTTGCCTAGCAGTCATGGACTCTGGTTTGCCTCATCACACACACACACACACACACACACACACACACACACACACACACACACACACACACACACACACACCTTCAGACACAAGAGTCTGATTTTGAACTAGAGTTACCCATGTTCTTTGCCTCTACTGCATACAAAAAAAAAAAGGACAATTTGTCAAAAACTAAACTTCCCAAAAGTAATCTCAAGAGAATGAGACCAATCACAGACTGAGAGAAAATCATTGCAGAAGATATATCTGATAAATTTACCCAAAATATAAAAAGAACTCTTCACATTTAACAACAGAAAAACAGCTCAGTTTTTTAAATGGCAGAAAACCTAACTAGACATCAAGAAGATACAAAAATATCAAAAAATCATATGAAAAGACACTGTCATGTCATCACAGAGGTTAAAATGATGACATACTCATACATACTATTAAGACTGCTCAGTCAGCAGCACTGATAACATCAAATGCCAGTGTGGCTGTAGAACAACAGGAACTCTTCTTCATTGTTGGCAGGAATACAACAGCCCAGACCCATTGAATTTACACCTTGCGTGAATCTTAATGTAAACTATGGCCATACAGTGATCACAACAGATAAAGTGTACCACTCTGGAGAGGGAAGCTGATAATGGGGAAGACCATGCATGTATGGGGATGGGGTAAAGGAACAATCTCTTTTCTTTCCTGTTCTGCTGCAAACTCTGAAAAAAAAAATCTTTAATAGAGTTCTCATTAATAAAGAGTAAAGGCAACAGTATAGATAGTAATTAGATTGTTTATAAGTAAGTTATGTTTTAGTGTAGGCTTTGCTCTGAGACCTTATCTAAACAGCTGCTTTTTTTGGGGGGGGGGGCTTGACCTCTGTGCTGGGCGCTATTCATCAGCTTTTCAGCTCAAGGCAAGCATTCTACCACTTGAGCCATAGTGCCACTTCTGGTCTTCTGAGTGGTTTATTGGAGATAAGAGCCTCACAGGCTTTCCTGCCCGGGCTAACTTTGAACCGTGACCCTCAGATCTCAGCCTTCTGGGATTACAGGCATGAACCACCAATGCCCGGCTAAACAGCTGTTTTTAAAAAACAATGGATTTGTTAGGTGCTGGTGGCTTACACCTGCAACTGTAGCTACTCACAAAGCTGAGATTTGAGGATCATGGTTTGAAGCCAGCCCAGGGAGGAAAGCCTGTGGGACTCTTATCTCCAATTAACTACCAAAAAAGCTGGAAGTAGAGTGCTAGCCTTGATCACAAATGTTCAGGGACCTTGCCCAGGCCCCAGAGTTCAAGCCCCAGGACTGGCATGTGCGTGCACGTGCAAACATGCAAACACACACACACAGACTTAACATACATTGATGAGAGAGATGCAGTTGACAATTTATGTTTGCTGTTTCTTAAAAAAGCACATGAGTTCTAATACTGCAAATAAGCACTTTATTATCAAATAGTTGGGCATTAAAACAAGATTTCTAATTCCTAAATGGATTTCTTTACACAGCATCTTTCTGTGAGACACAAATTACAAAATCTGACACTACATCCAGTTTCACATTTGCAATTGGGTAACTTGATCTAAAATTATAAATCTCTTTCATTCTTAATGCTAAAATTGTATTAATGCCAGGTTAAGAAACCTGGTTTTTACTGATAGTGATATAAAAATCCACTATAAGAAAAAAATCATTTGTGGGACTGGGAAGATGGCTCAGTGGTAGAGCGTTTGCCTTGCATGCATGAGGCCCTGGGTTCGATTCCCCAGCACCACATAAGCAAAAAGAAAAAAAGCCAGAAGTGGTGCTGTGGCTCAAGTGGTAGAGCACTAGCCTTGAGCTGAAAAGCTGAGGGACAGCGCCCAGGCCCAGAGTTCAGGCCCCACAACCTGACCAAAAAAAAAAAAGAATAAGAAAAAAATCATTTGTACTTACAGAGGCGGAACCCCTTTAACACAAAGAAAAAAATGAAGGACTTTATGCAATTATGTAAGGTGGATGAGACCAGAAGAAACATTCATTCACAGATAATACTTTCATATTCAGTAATCCCATGTGAGAAATAAATGACTCAGAGTAAACAGAAAATTAAAATTAGCCCTTAGGCCTTTTTGAATTCCAATTATTGCTCTAAATTAGTCACTACTCCTCAGAATGATGCTCCAGAATATAAGCCTCAATAATTAAGACTGTTTTAGAATTTATTTTGTATAACTCCTTCATTTAGCCTTCCACAGATTTATAATTAACTGAGTGGCTACCATACCCCACGCATGGTATGGTGGCTGAAATAGGATAATGACAGCATTCCTTGTCTAGCTACCCTTTAAGCAGCTGAATAATGGAACATATGGCCAAGATACCATAAGTACGAATTCACCAAATGTATCCAACTTAAGTGACTCAAAAGAAGAAATGGTAAATATATAAGACATTTTCCTTTTTTCCTGTGTATAATCACATCTGATCAGGGCACTGGATGCTCTCTATGTAAACTTCAGATTTAGGTAGATGGAGAAGACTACCATCCTGATGACACAAGAATTCATCTGGTTGTAGCTCATCATAAATGCTGTCCATTAAGAACTTTTTTTTCTTTTTCTTTTCTTTTTTATTTGCAGGAAGAAAGGAAATGCTCAAAAACTCCCTTCTTGTAGGTGGGAATTAATTTTTAAAGGCTCCAACTCTGCTAGCTTTGCTGATGAAGTTCTTCAGGAGATCATGATCCATTTCTGCAAAACCTGAAGTCTGTGTTACTACAGTCAGATGGTTTATGCAAAACCTGAAGCAGAATTCTTCCAGATCCTAGAAACAACAAAAACAGCAGTAACAAACTCATATATCCCAATGCAATGCAACATGGCAAGATTGCTCAAACAAGGAAATACTGGTGCAACAATACTGTACCTAAAGAACAGTTACAAAAACTATAGTAGCACGGGCTAAAGTATATAAAATAGTATGGACTCAAGACTGTAAAAACACAAATAATACAAAGTGAAATGTTCAAGTTCCTTTAACCAATGCAAAGAATCTGACTTTTTTCCAAAGAAAGCTCAATTATTCAGTACCTGTTTTGAATGATAGCACTTGTAACTATTCTTTCCATGTTCAATATGTATTAAAAGTACTGCATCCCCATTTCTGTTCCCTTAAGCCCTTTAAATTTTCTACCTATAAAGACTTTGTAGAAGAAAAGGTGGGAGCTATAACAAATAGCATTGCTGGAGCCACGCGCCAGTGGCTCATATTTGTAACCCTAGCTACTCAGGAGGCTGATATAAGAATTGAGGTTATAAACCAGCTGCCCTGATAGGAAAGCCCATGAGCTCTTATCGTCAATTAAGTATCAAAAAGCCAGAAGTTGAGGTGTAGTTCAAGTGGTAGAATATTAGCCTTAAGCACAAAAGCTCAAGGACAACACCCAGGCCCTGAGTTCAAGCCCTAGGACTGGCACCAAAAAGAGAAAGAGAAAAAAGTAATGCCAGGAAAATACTTTCCTTTTATAAGAGGACACTGCTGCTTTTCCTTTTCAAGACGACAGAGTAGAATGGATAGATTTTACCATGCTACACATACCTTCAGTAATCTTAACTAGGGGGTAGCTCAGTGGTATTGTGTAAGCTGAGCATTTTCAGGGTGCTGAGTTCAATCCCAGACATCAAAATAATATCAGGTATATCTCAAGCTATAATTGTATGTGTATATATATATATATATATATATATATATATATACATATATATGTATATATATATATAATATGTAAAATTATAGTATTTATTTTTTGTACTGCTAGGGATTGAACTAAGGCCCTTGTGTATGATAGGTATGTAATCTACCAATGAGCAACACTCTCATACCAGCAGATGTAGTTATTTTTCCCTCCTGGGGAAAATTAAGATTAGCCTGATGAACCCCAATAAGCCTCAGAACCTGGGCTATTCAGTCATCAGATCCAGCACAAGATGTGACAGCCCAGTCTATTTTTAAAGCTCCTTCTCTATGTTGCTAAAGCTAATTTTTTTAAACCCTAAGTAACTTCCTAGCAATCATATAAACACATTTCACACTCTCCTGTTTTCTTCTTTAGATACATATAAACTATGGCAAATGCTGATAACAAAACAGCAGTATAATAGAAAAGCTGTGGATGCTGACAGTCATGTCAATGGGCCCATGAACCTCGAATACATTTATCTTTAGGAAAAGAAACAAACTACAGGAAGAAAAGCTACTCAGTACAGACAAGCAAGCTGCTAAAAGTCACATTGGCAGTGTGATATATTCCAAGCTCTGGATATATTCCAATCTCAGAGAAGAAATGGGAAATTCACATACACTTCTGACACTGTGGCTTGTCATTACACATAAAAATGTGTTTTGCTGATATATGCTAACTATCCCAAAATACACTTAAAAATCATACAGTTTGACTTGAAGTTTAGAAATGAAATGTTTGCATATAGCATACAAAAGTGCACTGAAAGATATGTCTCTTTGACTGAATTTTGCAGAGTCTCTGCCTTTGATGACCATCCTAATAGACACTTTATTTCTACTACTTTTATTGTTTAGTTTTCTTTCGTGTTGCATCTTTAATCTCCTAGTTTCTTTTAGTTTAGGGAACTTCTGTTGTGTCCAGGTCAGCTAGGGAAGGCTGCTTTGTCTCACCTGGGCATCGTATTTCACAGCAGTGGAGAGCAGAGCAATGGCATTCTCCTCACAGATTCCTTGCTTGATAGTTTGTTGGCAGAGTTTTTTCAAGTGATTTTCTCTATAAAATGTGGCCAAATCTAGCAATCCTGGTGGGAAGAAGTGCTTATTAAGATGTGCTAGGGAGGCATGTCAAGCATCCTGATTGAAACTCACTTAACCGTGTGACACTTGGTAGAGTGCTGTGTAAACAGACTACCCCTGATTTACACTTGGGGAGTGCAGCTCCCCTAAGATGGTGGCAGGACTGAGCAAATAAGCTGTAAGAAAAACAGGAGCAAAGTGAAGATGCTTTAATAATTTCCTGGGGGGAGGGCTGGAAGAACATGCATATGCTTATGTTAATAACAAGCCCCCTGAATTGTAACTGTCTCCTCCCAGATGTGGCCCATCAGCGATCATGCTGTGCTAGAGTCCATCCTTTAAAAAGGAAAGTGGCTGAGGATGTGGCTCCATGGCGTAGTGCATGTGCTTAACATGCTCAGAGTCCTGGGTTGAATCCCCAGCACCAAAGAAATAGAAGAGAAACTTTTTTCATTGAGAGCATGTCTGCCTCCTGTAACTGCCCCATCTCTCTACTCCTCTCTATTGTAAAACTCCTAGAGGGCTGTCTACATCTGCTGGCTCTTATCTCTGATTCTGTCCTCAAAAGGCCAGTCCAAACAAAAGCCTACCCCCACCACTCATGAAGTCCCTCTGTAGGGCCAAACCTAAGGTTCAGTCTCTGTTTTCCTCTTATGCAAAGCTCACATTGAATTGGATGTGTGTGATGATACTTCATATCACCCTCTGCTCTTGTTTATGTTTTTCTTCTCCTTTATTGGGGACTACCAAATTCCCTGGTTGGGCCATTGTACCCAACTTCCACAGCATTCAGACTCAGATACTTATTTGATTATTTCAGCAAGTGAGCTCCAGTCTCCGTTTTAAATATCATCTATACCTTTCTGAACATCACCTTTATAATAACAATAACAATAAAAATAAATAAATACTATGTGCAGATGCAGATGGGCCCAGAGGTAATACATGTCACCAGTTTCAAATAGTTTGATGGAGACTGAGTTCATCTATCCTAATGAACAATACGATAGCTCCTCATCAGCAATGGTCAACTAACATTGGAAGATCCTATTGGTTTTCAGATATTGCCCTCTAAATCTTTATTAGAAGGTTTTAATTAGCAGAGAGAAAGTTATTGATGAGTAAGTGCTCTTGAGGATATATGGCCTCTACCCTTGAATGAGTGGAGCTCCAGCCCTGGCACCCAGTGGCCAGACACTCTTGACTGATACCTATGCCAGGTCTACAGTTAGTCCTGGGTTGCCACCTGATCAATAGATTGCCTGGCTCTTGCTTACTAGAATATTGTCAAATCCTCAAGTTCCCCTTTCATGCAGAGGGTTGAGCTTTCCAGCGTGCCTGAAAGAAGAAGCTGGTATTTCATTATTGTTAAGCTATTAATTGTGCTTGTATTTGGCTCCTAATAAGTTTTGTCCATGTGGTAGAATCTGATCAGAAACCCTCCTTCATTATAACATGGCTAATAGAAAAAAATTAAGGCAGACCTAGGGCTCACTGAATCTTTCTGAAACCTGTGAATTAATGAATTGTTTGGAATCAGTTCCCCCCAACACTGAAATTCACACCAGCAACCCCAAATTCTAGACTCAATTGATACAGTCCACCTGAAGAGAAACCTGCCTGGATCCCAGGCTCTGCCCCTCCTCCATGTATCCTCTTGTCACAAGAACCCCAGGCCTTGCAGCTCACACTTCGGATATGTGGAAACCCATAGGGCCTGAGGTTTCCTCCCTCTGACAACTACACCACCAGTGTGCAACCCCAGATGTGGCCCAGAATCGGGATGAGCTAAGTTTGGACATGCAGGCTGCAGGGCCTGCACAGTCCTTGTTATGCAGGATGTAGCTGCAATCTAGAGGCCAGAGGTCTGTCCTTCCTGTACCACTGCATTCTAGCACAACCCCAAACCACAGTGCTGCCTTTAGTACAGGATGGATAGTTGAGGTTTACCGTAAGTTTTTAGATAGACAATATAGATGGCTATTGGGACTATTCCCCTTGTTATGGTGGGCCTACCAAAAAGCAAGGAAAAAATTATTTAAAAATTCAAATAAAATAAAAATGTCCCTGAGATGTTAATTACTTCTTTAACCTTTCAGACTGCAAACTGAATTGCTCTATACCTCCTTCATCTTGGCTGATAACACTTGCCCTAATCCAACTATGCAAGCCAAATACCTCAGCAAAGTTAATCCTTCTCCTGCCACAAGACATTCCATCAGTAAATCTCACCAGCCTCATCTTCAAAACATATCCAGAATCTGATCTCTTCTCAACATCTCCACTGCTACATCCTCTAAAACCCAGAGCCCACCATTTCTCACCTTAACAATTAAAATTACTGACCTTTTACAAACAGATCACATCTCTTCCATAGCAAAGCTGATAGTTGTTACCCTCTATACACCTATACACATGTACACACACACTCATGCATGCGTGCACACACACACACACACACACACACACACACACACACACACACCATATTCTGCCCTTGCTCCAAATCATAGAATGTTTGGCTATGTCATGGACATCTGGATATTCCCACTTTCCCAGTCTCCTGTGCAAGCAGGTATGGCCTAACTGCTCTAGTCCACTAGCCAAGGCTCTTCTTTCGTTCCTCCATCCTGCTACCTGTGATATTCCAGTGATAGTTTGATATTCCACTGACCTCTCTCTACCCAGGAAACCTTTTTTGTGAAATAACAACAATGGCATAGTTTAGGTTCATAGCATGGGGATGGGATGGACCTCAGTGGTAAAGCTTGCATGAGATTGTGGGTTCCCTCCTACCCACCCTCCATAAAAAAGAGTTTGAAGTCAACACACAGAAAAGAACTTCCTCTGACTACCCTCACTGTTATTTTCTTTTAGGCTCTATGGAAACCACCTGTCAACATTTTGCCAGTTTCTTGGTAAAATTCTTGGGCAGTTACCTACTGCCTCCTCAGGAGGAAGGCTGATGCTGTCTGTATATAAGTACTCCAGGAAGGCTCGGTACACAGGATAGGAAAATTCACTCATTTCTACAATATCATCCTCGTTGTCTTCCAAGGAAGAACGAAAATGCTCACACCTGAAGAAAGAAAGAAAATGGGTCTGATCAGGATTGCAGGCCAGAGCCAAAGGCTTTCCAGAGGATTACACTCTTTCTCTAAAGCTGCACACCTTCCTCTTTGTCATAATATAGACCTTGAGACTGCAAATGCTTAGTCTCAGGGTGGCATACTGGAAGATGGCAGACCCTTTAAGAGGTAGGGTAGATATGAAGGACATATTCTCGAGGAGTACTGTAGGACCCAATCCCATTTCTCCTTCTTTGTTCTCTGTGCATAATTGTTCTTGCCATGATATGCTACCATACAACAGGCCCAAAACAATGAGGCCAGTCGATCACTTATTGGCACCCCCAAACTATGAGGCAAATAAGTCTTTTTAGCTAGACATATAGCAGATGCCTAGCATGTGTGGGTTCAATCTCTAGAAGTAACTACTAAGCCTATTGTTAGTGGTTCATTGTCTCAGCTATTTTGTTACAGTGATAGAAAACTGACTAAGCTAACATCCTTGCCTTGGCTCTTCACTTTCTCTGCTGGCCTGAAGTTTTTCATCATTTATTCAACAAGGCTGCAAATGCAAACTACTATTGCTGTGCGTGGTCAGGGAAGCTGCCTCTTATGTGTGCTGCTGAAGATGGCATCTTTCTCATAACATCCCTACTGAAATAAGGAAGGTTGATAAAGATGAGCTAATGTATTTCTTGTGATCCGTATCACAAGATACAGTGAACTGTGTTGCCTAAAAGTTCTTGTATTGAACTCAAACCTCCCAAGTAGTTAGTTAAAATAGGTCATTGTAGTTTGCCCTACTCCAATATTACTGGTGTCCTTACAAAAAGAGGAAATCTGGACACAATCCACACACTGTGGATGATCTGAGGCAAACTGTCACATGAACAGAAATGCCAGAGATTGTCACAAACTATTAGAAGCCAGAAAAGGGAATGGGGCAGATCCTCCCTCCCAGCCTCATTTAAAAATCATACTTCTGACAACTCAGACTTCCAGCCTCCGGAAGTGTCAGAGCTATTTCTATGTTGTACAGAAAAGTGGTCCACCTGCTGCCTCAATTAAGGCTTATGTGCTACGATGGTGAGAGTGAATTCATGAGCCACAGCCTGACCTTATGAAAGAGGAATTTGAGGCTGAAAGGTCATTTCAAGTCTGTGAATAATATATAGAGAATTTAAATATCAATTATGCAACAATATGATGAATTTCAAAATTATTATGCCAAGAGGGAAAAAAGCTGGGCACAAAAGAAGGCATATGGTATCACTTAGTTTCTATAAGTCTCTAGAATATGTAAGTAATTTGTGGTAGAGAAAGAGCATGGGATGCCCAGGCTGGGGCCAACAGGCTCATCTTGGTGGCAGAACTCTTCCAGGTCTAGATGTCTGGAGGTGGGGCCACAGTCTCACAGGTGTGCACAAAAGTCATCCAACACGCATCTGAAATGGATACTACTCATTGTTCATAAATTAAACCAACACCTGTGATTGTAAACATCTCTATGCTGCCGTCATCCAGACCTTGTTCTGACTGAACACGTGCTGCCATGGGCTGAGCTCAGTCTCCTGGCAGGGAAGATAACTTAGGTCAACACTCTTGACAAGCATAAAGCACATTTACCCACTGGCAGCTGGCTACTCTGTAATGCCGAGGTGGACAGAACCTTCTCTAGACCCTGAGGAATGACCACAGCACTGTTTCCCCACCATGCACCCAGCACCGTCACAGTGACCAGCAGTACTTCCTGTTTCCCAAATCCTGCTTCCCATAGTTGCACTGTGCTCCCAGAGGCAAAGAACACTTTTTCATAAACATTGAAGTGCCACAACAACTCTTCTCTCAATTCTATGCTAGTATAAGCATTAATAAAAATTAATTACTAGCCGGGTGCTAGTGGCTCACACCTGTAATCCTAGCTTCTCAGGAAGCTGAGATCTAGGATTGCAACATGAAGTCAGCCCAGTCGCGAAAGTCCATGAGACTCTTATCTCCAATTAACTACCAGAAAACCAAAATAGAGCTGTGGCTCAAAGTAGTAAAGCACCAGTCAAGAGCAAAAAAAATCTCAGGAATAGCACCCAGGCCCTGAGCTCAAGACCCATAACCAATATATGAATAAATACATGAATAAATAAATAAAATTACTGAAGTGTTCAGCAGTCCCTTGGACAAGGAAATAACTGTTGAATGGACTGATGTTAATTCTCAAAATAAATGATCCCTTACCTAATTTTGAGAAGGACTTTGTGTGTATAAATGTATTTTCCATCAACCAGAAACTTGAGGTCTGCAGTGTCTGGGTTGTCAAATTCTCTCCTCAATGACTCAGCAACTGTGAGGTGGTCATCAGGTTCTAAGAAAGCAACACAAGGGTTCTAGGCTCAGCCACAGCTACATGACCCTGTCCACAGGCTCACACCTATAGACCTCGACGAGGCCTAGCTCTTCCAACATTCACAAAATGCTGATTTGCTAAATAACTGACCAACTGAGCAATGCTTTCTCATGAAATATGGATTCACATTTCTGCAATCCATAAAGATTAAAAAAAATCACACCTATTTGCTTATGAGTCTTACCAAAACACCAAGTAAGTCCCAATCTGCTTCACTAATTTTGAATGAAATAATAAAATGGTTGAATGAATAGCCTAGCTAAAAAAATATGTGTAGGCAGGCACCAGTGGCTCACGCCTATAATCCTAGCTACTTAGGAGGCTGAGATCTGAGGATCCCAGTTCAAAGCCAGCCCAGCCAGAAAAGTCCCCATGAGACTCTTATCTCCAATTAACCACTCCGAAACTGGAAGTGGAGCTGTGACAAAAAATGGTAGAGTGCTAGCCTTGAGCAAAAGAGCTCAGGGACACTACCCAGGCCCTGAGTTCAAGCCCTACCACCACCCCACCCCACCCGCCAAAAAAATGTATCTCTGTGTGTACATTAAACTAAAAAAGCAAACAAATAAAATTACTTCTAATTTAGTGTTAGTGGTGTTTCCTGATGATTTTAAGAAAAGTAACCAACTTCTCTTTCACAGGAACCCATTAGAAGGAAATGAATCTGAACCCTGCCCCCAAGGAAATCCTGATACCAAAATGAAAGCATTAGGTTTTCTTCCTGGTTTTTAGGCCATGTGGCAATGGACAGAGACCAACTCACCCACAGAGAGGAGGCGCCAAGTGACAGCCGGGGTGGCGAAGCACGCAAACACGTCGTCTGTGCAGGAGAAGTGGGTGAGGTGAGGGAGGATGACGGACTGGCCCCGGCACTGGCCCCACATGTACACGTGCCCACCCTGGGTCTTGGCCGCAGACGTGTGAGTGGAGTGACAGGCTGCAATCTCTATGACCCTAAATTCACAAGCAAACACCACAGAAATACAGTAAGCAACAGGAAAGCCAGACTGTCTCTTAAACTTAACTTGAGAGAAGCAGGTCTAAGAAGAGAGAGAGAGGAAAAAAAAAAAGGAGCAAAACAAGACTTGGCAGCTCACCTCCTAAATTTTCAGGCATCAAACACTGGAGCTACATTTTAATGACATTTATAACTCATCTGTTTTAAGGATCTGTTTATTATTCCTGCAATCCAGTAGGCCTATAAAAAATACACACTATCCCATTCCGAAATTCAAGTACAAGCAAGTCAAGTGGACATCAAAAAGAAAAGGATGATTTCGTTCTTTTTTTCACTCTTAAAACATTACTAGGGGGCTAGAAATGTGGCTTAGTGGTAGAGTGCTTGCCTAGCTTGCATGAAGCCCTCGGTTCAATTCCTCAGACTCACATAAACAGAAAAAGCCAGATGTAGCACTGTGGCTCAAGTGGTAGAGTGTTAAACTTGAGCAAAAGAAGTTCAGGGAGCCCTGAGTTCAAGCCCCAAGACTGGCAAAAACAACAACAACAAAAAAAAACAAAACATTACTTGGTAGTTAATAAAGACATCGACTATCATGGTTTAGGGTGAACAATTACATATTTTAGTCATAACTTTGCCATTTTGAGCTGGAGATGTGACTCAGTGGTAGAGTTCATGGCCCTGGATTCAATCCTCAGCTCAAAAAGATAAATTTCACCTAATTTGAGATTAAAGAGAGTATGCAGAGTCACCCCAACTCCCTCTGATTGCATAAATTCAGTACATTTTTTGTTCTGGTTTTGGTTTTGTTTTGGGGATGCTGAGGATGAAATCCAGGACTAAGTCAACTATAGCCAGACAGTAGTTTCCTGGGCTGACTCAGTGAAGACCCTCCTACTTAAGTTCTTGAGTGAAGGAGACATTGTTGTGAGAACACTTCCTAATGGAAAACATTGTCCTATTGATCAAGAAACAATTTCTTTTCTGTACAACTAAGCTACTACTCAATTTGAAAGACAGTAACTCTTTCTCTGACCCTAAGTAAGCTCGCAGTTTCCAGGAACCTCAGAGATGGGTTCAGCACTTCATAGTGGCCTTTGAATTCTCTCATGTGCCACTTCCTCCAGAACAGCAAGTTCCCAAGCAATGCTCTTCTTTCTAAGTGTTTCTATCAGCCTGGTCATTGGCCAGACACAGTCCTTATCTATGACACCTACAGTCTCCCTGGGCTCAGGCCGTAGATTGTCTCTCTCCTTAGCCCCAAGTCACACCAAACTGGCAGCTAGCAATCCTCCTGAGACCTCACACCCACCAAGACTGAGAGCTGACAGTAAGGCTGTGCAGAACTTGGCTTCCTCTTCAGTGCTGCCTTCACTCAAATCACGTTGGTTACATAGCATGTGTTCTGGCCCCTTGAAGTTTACATTCGTGGCTACCATGCTTGTTCAGAACAGCAATGTTTCCTTTTTCCTCTGCCTTACAAACCTTACCTGTCTTGTGAGGCCTTGAGTGAGATGCTCACCTAAGCAATTATAGCATTTTCCGTCTATGCCACTCCAGTTTGGCCTTCATTTATTTTCATGTGTGTATAAGGTTCACCTTTTGGTCTCAGATTACAAGATCTCATCAGGCCTGATCACTGGCTTATCCTCCTAGATCTCTAAGCATATAATACAGTACCTTAGTAAATGCAACTTACAGGCTTTGACTGGCTAACCAGGGAAGATTCTACAACTTAGGGCAGCTGAGGGTTGGGCAACACCTCACTGGCCAAGGGCAGCAGTGGGAGGGGCTATGCCCTCCCCTGCCTCCTCAAGATGTTTCCCAATAGGAGGAAAATTGTTCAACACAACCTGGAGGCTGAGGTGTTGGCTCGCCTCACAAGCTTGACACATAGTGTCTTCATGGCCAGCACAAACAATTTCACTGACTTATTAGAGGACAGCTCTCAGCTCTTCAATACCCAGTAGTACTAGAGGGAAAGAGACCATGAAGTACCACAGTGGAGAACCTGGAATTCAGGTTTGAATCCCAGCCCTGCCTTAAAACTGAGAGGCAGAAGGGAGAACTCTTAGGTCTGGAAGCCTCAGTTCATTACACTTCAGGATTGGCATGGGAGTTCAAATAAATGCTAAGTGTCAAGCACAGTGTGTAGTGTACAAGTGACATAAGATTTTTCTTAATGTTCTTAATACAGTCAAGGACAAAATTACAATGATTTACTTTAATGATCTTAATTGGCTTCATTTTCAACTCTAGAATCAGAGAACATTTCCTTCCATGAAACGGAAGGAGCATTCCAATGGGCTGAGCAACCGTGATTGGTTACATAGGCAGAGAAGGGCTAATGGAAGGCAGCCGGAAACACAGTCACTGTCCTTGTAAAACAGGAACCCAGAGATTGAACTGTGAGGAAATGACTGACTAGCTGGCATCAGGCTACCTCAGGTTACCTTTCTGCATTAAAGACTAAGGACAGGGAATGTCACTCTTATGTGAGTTAAAATGAGTCTGCTTAAGAACTTTTGTTATCTCTCTAATCCTGATTTCTCAGAAAATCAGATAAACAATTGAGTTCCAGCTCTTCGATGGGAAATTTAACATAAGAAAGTCCATTTTGATTTTTAGTCCAGTATAGGGAGCCCGAGTGCAGAGGTTTGGTCCGAATCAATGGGCCTCTGGTAGTTTTTAACTTAGCACTCTCATTGCTCAGCATTTCAAGTGACAGATGCCTCTCCAAGAAGGTACAGTATTTTGAACGACCAAATTCTCTAAAACAGTCCTTTTCTGACATGATCATGGCTGGGTTAGTCAACTGGCTCCAACTTCCACTCTGCAAAGAAGCCTTGACCCAAAGGAAAATGGTCCATACTATTTGGCTTCCCAATAAGCATACTCATCAACAAATAAAGCAAAGGGAAGAAGGAAGAAGAGGAAACTTATCTACTCAAAGGTAACTACATCCCCTGCTCCTGTCTACTTCTTGACAAGCAAACCTGAAGGAAATAGCGCCAGTCCTCTGGGATGGTCTGAGCTAGACAGGACATGGGCTCAAGCTAATTAATTTCAATCTTAGAATCAGTTTTATCCTCTTTTCAGAGGGAGGGGAAAGCAGGCACAGGCAGGGGATAAGATAAGGTGATCTCATGGGTTTGTGGTACAGAAGAAATGAAATGAGGTACCCAGCAGAGTGGAGCATTTAAAAAAAAAAAAAAAACACTTCTTGAGGTACTAAAAGGAAGAGACCTGGGGAGCTCACTGGGTCCCAGAGGCTTTGGACTTGTCAGAAATGGACCAAGAACCTGTAAGGCTGAGAAGTGAGTGAGCCACCATGTAGGCAGAGGGCAGACATAGTGAGACTGGAGAGAGGCACACACTACAAGTGCTCCTAACAGAGTACATCTAGGGGCAGCAAGCCATGTCTTACAAAGAACTATGCTGTCTTATACCCAGGGGCCAGGTGTGGGCCAGGCTGACCCCAGCAACTGCTAGAAGAACAATGAATTCTGTCTTGATCTCAAGTGGTAGGCAAACGGGAAACAGCTTTGTGAATGGGGTAGTAAGGGAGAAAAGTGGTGTTCTGAGAAGTATCCCTCTGGCAACAATGAGAAAGATAGTCTGAAAGGGAGAGAAAGGATAGTGGGAGGCTAGCTAATAGAGGCCAATCTCATTCAAGCCATGTCACCACGGAGGAATCAGGGTAGCTTGCATTTCCAAGGACAGGACCCGAAGATGGCCCCAGGAGAATATATCTAGGAAAAGCCCAGCCTCATGGTACTGAGGGAGGCTCAAATAATACTGGCCTGGCCTGGTACTGCTGTGGGCTCAGCATACAGAGTTACACAAGAAATAAAAGAAAGAAAAGGTCATGAATACTTAACCAGTCCGTGGTAAAGCTGTGTGGTGCTGGGCAATCCCAACAATCTTTCCTTAAGCACTGGTGAGCTGCACATGCTCTCTTCCTATCTGAGCCCTTTCATAATAACCTACAAAGCACAGACTGTTACTTTTATTTGAATTATTTCTGTGCACTCAGAGACCGGGTTAAAAAAACATCTGGCTCCCTTTTTCTTGATAATATTCTACAAAAAAATGCCACTAACTGGAACACAAGAGTGCCCTGTACAAAACAATCCAACTGAGAAAAGCAACAAAATTTAGTCTCTGTGTTCCCTTCTGAAGTGTCTGTCATTAGACACTTAGTCTATCATTAGTCCTTCATCTATGAAGGACTACAGTCACTAAAGCAGCTGGTGATCTGGGCCGGACTTGGGCAGGCAGAGCAGAGGAGGGAGGTGAGGAGGGAATACTGACACTGGCTGCCCAAGGCACGGCCTTGAGACATTTACCTGGCACACCTCGCTCCACAAGGGAAGTCAGGGGTGGGGTGTGGGCCGGGCTGACCGCAGCAGCTGCTACATAGGAACAAGAGTAGAGAGAGTTTAGTGGGTATCTTCAGGTCTGGGCTTGGAACCCAAGCAAACTGCCATAAAACCTTCTCTGTGCCTTGGGTCATTTTTTAAATTAATGTGTACCAAACAGCCATAAAGGGCAGGGTCAGTAGTGAAATATGAACTCAGAGCTTCATGCTTGTTGGGCAGGTACTAAGTCACTTGGGTCCTTTTTTGCTCTAGTTATCTTTTAGATAAGGTCTTGCTTTTTGCCTAGGCTAGCGTGGACCACAATCCTCCTCTTTATGATTCCCACTAAAAGTGGGAACAATTCAATGTAGATGAAGTCTCCCTTTTCTCTTTGGGGAGCTGGTAACTAAGAACTAAAGACCTGTTCTTGACCCACCTCAAGTGCAATTGTATTCCTCACTAGCCAGACTCCCATAGGGGACCTGGAAGAGTCAGAGGAAGGTTCCTGAGGAAGAACTCATAACCTATGTGCAAGGTTCAGCCACTAAAATGGGTGGAGAATGCAGAACAAATCCTAGCACCTGTGATAGGCCGAACAGACACTGAGCAAGCTCAGAAACACTACCACCCCAAAGCAAGCCTATAAAAGTAAGGCAGTCAGAAACATCTCTCATTCATCCATGATTTTTTTTTCTGTCAAAATAATGTTAATATAGACACAGCAAATGCACAGATGCATAGCTGGCTCCATCTTTACAATTTAAAAACAACTGCAGTTTTAAAAGACAGAAAGGCATAGTGTGTGGTACCCAGTGGCTCAAACCTGTAATCTTGGCTGCTTAGAGGCAAACACCTGGGAATCAGTTTCAAGAACTATATGGGGAAGAAAGCAAGATACTACCTAACAAAAAAAAAAAAAGAAAGAAAGAAAAGGAAAAGAAAACAGAAAAAAGAAAAAAAGGGTGGGGCATATCTTAAGTTGATCACCTGAGGAAGCTCTAAGTTCAGTACCCCAAGCGTGTGTTTGTGCGCGCACACACACACACACACACACAGGCAACAGAAACTCTCAAAGTCCCCAACTTGGTACTCAGGTCATTGTTAGTCCCTGTTTCTGTTCGTTCTCTCATAAACTGTCTGTCCCCCAGGAACTGGTCAGAAGACCTAGACTTGTGTTCTATACCAGGGACCAATAGACAACATGAGCAAATCACCGGGGTGGCGGTGAGGGTGGGGGTAGAGTAGTAAAATCAGACTATAAGCCAGGGATGCAGGAACTAAAGTTGTTAAGTATAAATGCACCATAAAAAGCAGGAATGTGAAAAAAAAAAGTAGGAATGTGTATGCCATGTAAATCATTGTTTTGATGTCCAAGCTGTCTTCATATGATTTTTCAACACTTTGTTGATCAGGCTAACTACTAATTGTCCCACTAACTGGACTGGTGGTGTGTTCATTCAAGACTGTGTGTTTTGTGTGTCCTTCCTAAGTAGTTCTGAATACCTTTACAAAACAAGCAAACCACAACTCTGTAGGCATTCCTGAGCCAGTTCATCCTTCCACTGTCCCCCATCTCCAATTTTAAGATTTTAAGGGTCTAATTCTAAGACTTTGGGTGGAAAAAAAAAACACCTTTTTTTAGGACCTATTCAATAAAAGCTCAATACAGTTCACCAAGTTCACAATAGGCAAATGAAAACTGAGGTGGCTAAGAAATGACAATTTGGCTCTTTAACTGTTACATATTCCAACAGAAAAAATCTAATATATGGTGTACAAATGCTAATCAATTTATCTTTATTTTTATTACTTTGTGCTAGCCCCAGGGCTTGAACTCAAGGCCTAGGAGCTGTCACTGAGTATTTGTGCTTAAGGCTGGTAATTTGCCACTTAAGCCAGCTCCACTTCCAACTTTTTTAGGGGTTAACTGAAGATAAGAGTCTCACAGACTTTCTTGCCTGGACTGACCTTGAAGTGCAATCCTCATATGTTAGCTTCCTGTGTAGCTAGGATTAAAGATGAGAGCCACTAGTGCCCAGTTTCTCATGTTTGTTTTAAATCAAATATAATAAAAATGACACGTGAAATATAAATAAGAACAGTGGTATTAGTTTCTACAATGACTACAACGCTAGTTTAAAAGAAAAATAAAATGTTTTTACTTCATACTACTGTGTCTTGAAATGAGTGAAGGGATAGGGACATGGCTCAAGTGGCAGAACTTTTGCCTAGAAAGCTCAAGGACTTGGGTTCAATCCCTCATAGAAAGGAAGAGAGGGAGGGAGGGAGAAACAGAGGGGGGGGGGGAGAAAGGGAGAAACAGAGAGAAGAAGGAAAGGAAAGGGGAAGGAAGAGGGGAAAGAGAAAGAAAGGAGGGAGGGAGGGAGGAGGGAGAGAGAACAAATTAAAAGCTAAGAAAAAGAAAAGAAAAAAAGAATGAGTGAAAAGGCAATATGGTCATTCTTATGAAATCCAGTAGGCTTTCAAAAATATTAGGATTATCTAGAAACAACTTCCATATTTGTAAATTACCTAACATAACCCTGTACACCAGAAAGGACTTTTTTCCTAACCATTTTACTCTTTCTCATAGTGATAGCTTGAGAGTTAAAGTATCAAAATAATGTTTCATCTGCACCTGGCAAATTTTACAAGTAAGTGAGGACTGTTATAGGAAGCTGAGGACTGGCTTCATATCTCATCAAGGTACCAAAGACAGACTTCAAATGTTGTCAACTTCCCTTTTAGTATGAAAATCTCCAAAGAGGAAAAAAGAGTAATTTGTGATATGAATGTGGAATGGCTATTGTGGGTTTAGTCGTAACAGCTCACATAACTGAGGTTAGCTATTAGAGGAACAGGTGAAAAGAAAACATTTAACATACAACAACCTCCCCAACCATTCCCAATCAACTTTTAAAAAAGGAATACTCTGGACAAATAGTCTAGTGCTAGCAGTAAAGTTCCTACAATCCTTTGTTGTGATTTTTGAGTCTTCTTTAACTTAACAGAGCACTGGGGTAAGTTTGAAAATGCAAACATTACCTGTCCTTCTCCACAACGACAGGGGTAGGATAGGACTGGTTACTTTTATTGCCAGTGCCCAACTGGCCATAAGAATTTGCACCCCAAGCATACACTTGACCTTCATCTGTTAATACTAATGTGTGTGCGTAGCCACAGGCAACCTGTGGAGACAAAAAAACAAACCCTCTCAAGATTGTAAATAAAAGGAAACATCTCACTATTTCTAAAAAGTAGGTTAAGAATGAAAATGGAACAAGAGGGGGAGGCAGCCTGCCCATAAACAAACATTAAGCTAACCAATACTCTTGCATATAGGCACAGGCTCCCTGAGAGGCTGGAACTTCAGGAAAGACATGGGTGAGTCCTTCTGACTTCTCAGCCTGGATCACTGGCTCTCGTGAGGCATTCCTTATGCTCCAGGAAACTCACAGTTGGGAGCTGAATGTAAGAGAGACATTCTTTTTCTCTAACAGTTAAAGTAAATACATAAAATAATGGAGACGAATAGAAACATATAAGTATTCTCAAGATCAGGGTTTGAAGCCAGGCACCGGTGGCTCACGCCTGTGATTCTAGCTGCTCAGGAGGCTGAGATCTGAGGATCACGGTTCAAAACCATCCCGGGCAGGAAACTCTGTGAGACTCTTATCTCCAATAAACAACCAGAAAACTGGAAGTGGTGCTGTGGCTCTTCAGCCAGCTGAAGAGCCCAGGGACAGCGCCCAGACCCAGAGTTTAAGCCCCACGACCGACCAAAAAAAAAAAAAGAGATCGGGGTTTGGGGTATTTTCCTATTTATGTACAGGTATAGAGATGCACCACAAATTTTTTAATGATATTGTCTATTCAGCTTTCCATCTTCATTCTTTCTATCATCACACAAGGTACCCTCTCTCCTCTTTCATTATTCTTTCTAAACATCCTATCATCCAGAGTTGGCATAACTTATCTTATCATTAACATACTATTTGATTAGTAAATTATACTATATCTATTGCTTTTTATGAATCATTTTATAGTAATTATTAATGAATATTAATTGTACATACTAATGGACTTCAATTTGACTCTTACCTAATTCTGTAAGAAATGTTCTCTTGAGTTCCTGAGGACAATTCTCTAGGAGTAGAATTATAGGTCAGAGGGAATTTTTTTAAGTCTCTTGATACAAGAGACTACCAAAGATTCTTCAGGAAAGGTTGTCACAATTGATAGTCCCAAATAAGAGTCCCTAGATATAAAATAACCCACAAAAATCAGTAGCTTTTTTTATGTGCAAGCAATGAGAAGAGAGACAGTAGAATCAGGAAAGCAACTCCATTTGTAATAGCCTCAAAAAAAAAAAAAAATAACAGGAATTAACCAAAGATGTGAAGGATCTCTATGAAAAAAACTTTAAAAACCTGAACAAGAAAATTAAAGCAAAGCCAGGTGCTAGTGGCTCATGCCTATAATCCTAGCTACTCAGTAGGCTAAGATCTGAGGAACATGGTTCAAAGCCATCCTGAGTAGGAAAGTCCGTGAGACTCTTATCTGCAATAAACGACCAGAAAACCAGAAGTGGTGCTGTGGCTCAAGTGGTAGAGCACTAGAATTGAGCTAAAGAGCTGAGGGACAGAGCCCAGGCCCAGAATTCAAGGCCCATGACGGAGAAAGAAAGAGAGAGAGAGAGAGAGAGAGAGAGAGAGAGAGAGAGAGAGAGAGAGAGAGAGAGAGAGAGAAGGAAGGAAGGAAGGGAGGGAGGGAGGGAGGGAAAAAAGAAAATTAAAGCAGATTTAAAGAAGTGAAAAGACCTCCCATGATACTGGACTGGAAGTATTAACATTGTGAAAAGGGCAATACTGACCAAAACTATCTACAAATCCAATGCAATACCTATCAAAATCCGAAAAGCATTCTTCAATGATATAGAATAAGCAATCCAAAAATTCATATGGAATAACAGAAGACCCCAAATATCAAAAACAATACTTAGCAAGAAGAACAGTGCTAAAGAAATATCAAAACCAAATTTCAAACTCCATTAAAAAGTTGTAGTAATAAAAACAGCTTGGTACTAGCACAAGAATAGGTCTGGAGACCAATGGAGTAGAAGACCCAGAAATGAGCCCATACCTATAGCCACCTAATATTTGATAAGGGAGCCAAAAACCTAGGATGGAAGAAAGACAGCCTCTTCAATAAATGGTGCTAGCAAAATTGACTATACACGTGCAGAATGCTGAAGTTAGATCCTTATATATCATCCTGCACCAGAATCAATTCCAAATAAATCAAAGACCTTAATGTAAGAGCAGATACTCTGAAAATATTACAAGGAGGGATAGAGGAAACACTAAGGTACAGATGGAAACTTCCTAAGATCCAAAATTAACAAATCAAAGAAAGACTAGATAAATGGCATTGCATCAAACTGAAGAGTTTCTGCATGGCAAAGGACATCACTAGAAAGATAAAACAGAAAGCTCACAGAATGGGAGATCTTTACTAGCTATACATACATCAGACAAGAGCCCCATATCTAAAATATACTCAGAGCATTAAGAAATTAAATCTCCCAAAAGTGAATCCTCAAAGAAACAACAACCCAATTAATAAATGGGCTAAATAAAGACCTAAAGAGAGACTTATCCAAAGAAGAAATAAGAATGGCCAATAGACAGACACATGAAGAGATGTTCGAAATCTCTAGCCATAAAAGAAATGCAAATCAAAACAACATTGAGATTCCACCTTACCCCAGTTAAAATGGCCATTATCAGGAAAACCAACAGTAACAGATGCTGGTGGGGATGTGGCTATAAAGGAATGCTACTATACTACTGGTGGGAATGTAAACTTGTTCAACCACTCTGGAAAGCAGTACGGAGGTTCCTCAAAAGACTAAACATGAACCAGCAATTCCACTTCTGGGCATCTATCCAATTGACCACAAACCAGGTTACACTAAAGCCACCAGTGTGACCATGTTCATTGCAGCATTGTTTACCATAGTTAAGACATAGAATCAACACAAATTCCCCTCAGTGGATGAACAAATCAAGAAAATGTGGTATATATACATAATGGAATTCTATGCTTCCATCAGAAAAAATGACATCACCCCATTCATAAGGAAATCGAAAAAAAATTATACTAAGCAAAGTAAGCCAGACCCAAAGAAACATAGTTTACATGATTTCTCTCATTGGTAATAACTAGAATGTGCCTATAAATCTACAACTAACTCAATGGATAGTAAAAGACAAATAATTACACCAGGACAGGATTAATTAAACAGCAGTCTAAACATTCACACAGTGAGAATAAAGGAGGATATTCTTGGGTAGGGATATCAAGGGCTCGATAGCTATGTGCTTAAGGTCATGTAAAATGACATTTATCAAAATGAACTCCAAGAAATGGAAGTAAGAGGTTTTCTATTATATTGTTTTCAATTCTTTTTTTTTTCTTTATTCCTGTCTGTCCCTGTTTTAGATTTCTGTAATCCTTTGTCTTGTATATAAGTTTATCTGATTTGGGGAGGAAAAGGGGAAGCACAGAAATGGTAAAACAAAGGATGAAACAATTCAGCAATGAAACCTACCAGACACTATGTTGGAAATGAACTATACAACTTTCAGGGGTGGGGATGGGAAGTCAGGAGGGTTTACTGAGAGAGAATAAAGGAGGAAATATACTCACTACCTGACTTATGTAACTGTAACCTTCCTGGACATTACCTTTACAATAAATTTTTTAATGAAAAAAAAAAGAGTAACCTAGAAACAGAATGTCTCCAAACATTCATTCAGGTACACAGAGCTTTAATTTTGACTTCAACAAAGACATTCAACAGCTCAACTTTACATCCTGATAGAACATTATGTTTTTAAGCACATTGGTATCTTCATCATTAAAGGCCTTAAAACATACACACAAACCAAGGCTGGACCTACCCGCTGAACATGAATGCCCTGCAGTGCAGCCACTCGACAAGGGGTTGGCTGGTTACCAGTGCTTCCCAGTCCCAGCTGTCCGTTCCCACTGTACCCCCAGACATAGACCTAGGGGGGAGATGAGAAACTCAAGGCTTATGTTTGTTTGAGAAATATAATATGTCATGCTCATACAACAGAGATGTGGTAAAAAAAAAAAAAAAAAAAAAAGAAGAAAAAAATGAACCAAAGTACAAAATGACCTTCCTACCTCTCCAGTGTCCGCAACAGCCATTGAACACATCTGTCCACACGCTATGTTCACCACAACTTTGTTCTGCAAGTAACCAGTGACTCTTCGAGGGATGGGCTGATTCACTGTTGATCCAGAGCCTACCTGCCCAGAGTTATTATAACCCCAGGCAAACACCTATTGAAAGCAAAGTTTGATATGTGGAATATCATTTATAGTCTCTCCACTAAATACTGACACATTCTTCTTAAGGTGTTTCAGAGCTAGCCATTCTCACAGCACTGGTATTAAAGTTTCTGTAACTTATTCTCTCATTAGTTTGTAACATGAGGTTATTGTTATTATCCAGTCAAACAATAATAATTACTATTAAATATCAATTACACAAAAGTATTTACTTTGCCTCAGCAATATTTTCAATATTTCTGGATTTCCCTTTTCTTCAATAATCTCTTCATCATAGCAATATAGAAGGAAAGATAGATTAATTTTGCAGTGATTAAACTCCTTACTATAATCAAGTGGACTTTATCATATAAACCCCACAACTATGAGTTGCTATCAAGAATATGACTGAATTTGAGGAAAGTGGTTATTTTAATCTAATGGTCCTATTTCCAGGACTGATAAAGGAATCTATAGAATGCAACAGGAAAAAAAAAAAAAAGGGACATTACGTTAACTGTCCTTACCTCTCCATCAGAAGTTAGGACCAAAGAATGGTAAGACCCACAGGCAACTTCAATCACCTGCTTATTTGACAAGTTAGTAGAAATATGACAGGGTACTAAACCATGATTCGTTGTTCCATTGCCCAACTGGCTATAAGCATTGTGACCCCAGGTAAAGACTTCTCCTTCTGAAAATAAAAGAAAGTAACCACCTTCAAAATGTTTCATTATCTGAACACATACATTGTATGGCTTCCATAGATGATAACACAGTTACTATTTATAAATAATTAAAGTACACATTTATGTACCAATCTTAAGTAATAAAATACAAAGTCCCTCATATATGCATCTTGCATAAATTGTTTCCTGTTTTTGAACTTTAAATAAATGGACTCAGACAATATGTACTCATTTTGCTTACAATTTCTCCCATATTGCCTCTTTATATTATGTTCTACTTTCTTCTGACCTATCTTCCAGTTTACTGATTTTCTCCTGTGATAGAGAATTTGTTCAGTGAATTTTCTTTTTGATACCTACACTGTTTACTTGGGTCTTTTCTAAATCTTTTATGATCTCTATAAAAAATTTTTCAAACAACAACTATAAATGCCTTGTAGTCAGTGTTTAATTTATATTAAATTCTAATGTTTGATATTTAGTAGTCAGTTCTTTGGGTCTGTTGCTTCTATTGGTTCTCATTTTTTTTTTTTTAAAGAATGTACAGGAGGCCATTGGTTTAGAGTAGGCCTAACAAACCAAAGTAAAATAGTCATTCCTTGTAGTCATTTTCCACCTTACCAAGCAGAAACTAAGTTGTTTATTTGGTTTGAGAATCAAGAGAGGAAGACAGAGTCAAATTGCCTAACATGCCAGTTTCAGTCAGCAGATAATGATGTTCCCTCTGGTTTATCCTTATAAGGAAAATAACTGAAAAGATCAGTCTGCTCTCTTCTCTGTTTCCTCGTCTTCAGTCCTACTCTATCTATAAAACCAACCTCTTCTAATCAGGTTATCATAATGCTTATTCTGTTTTATGGAATGAAGTATTGTGTGATTGTAGTATCACAAAGAAAAGTCAATTAGAATCTTTAGTATGGGCTGGGAAGGTGACTCAGTGGTAGAGTGCTTTCCTGATATGCATGAGGCCCTGCGTTCGATTCCTCAGCACCACAAAGCAGAAAAAAGCCTCAAGTAGTGCTGTGGTTCAAGTGGTAGAGTGCTAATCTTGAGCTAAATAGCTCGAGTTCAGGCTCCATGACTGACAAAAATAAATAAATAAAAATCTTTAGTAAACTAAACTTGTGATTTTGTCTTTTTTTTCTATGCCTGACTATTTGGATTATGTGTTGTTTATAATCACTGAAAAGATATTTGTGATGATTTCCCCCAGGTCTTTAGTGGAAGAGTCTTCTTCTAGAAATGATCTGCATTAATTTCTATAATACCTTTAAGGCACTTCTAGTCCAGAATTGCTAATAAATTCAAATTTGAGGTTTCTAGGACCATTGAGTCTAATATGAATTAAAGTAACCTATGGATCTAAACTAATACAGAGATCTAAACTCTGAGAGGTTTCTCTCTCTCTCTCTCTCTTAAATTTTTTTTTGGAGGGAGGTAAGACAGGATCTTACTTGGTAATTCCAGGATGGTCTCAAAATAGTGATTCTCCTGTCTCATCATCCAAGTGCTGGGGGTTTATTTCATTTCCCTCTTTCTTCCCTGCTTTGCTCATAGAAAAAAGTTTTCCTGTTCCGTTCTTAGGAAGTAGCTAATCCTTTCCCAGAGAGGAAGCCTTTTCCTGTTCAGCCTATTTGGGAAGTTTCCTACTATTCCATTAGGCAGGATCTTGACTTGTGTTCCTTTACCTCCTGGGTACATACAACCACAGCTTGGCTCCAGCTGATAGAGACAGGCACCTTGAAAGCAACACAGTAACCAATTCTCCTATATACTAGGATTTGATACCTTTTCTTTTTTTTTTTTTTTTTTTGGTCCAGGTTGTGGGGCCTGAATTCTGGGCTTGGGCACTGTCCTTCAGCTCTTCAGCTCAAGGCTAGCACTCTACCACTTGAGCCACAGTGCCACTTCCGGCTTTTTTTCTTTTTGCTTATGTGGTGCTGAGGAATGGAACCCAGGGCCTCATGCATGCAAGGCAAGCACTCTACCACTGAGCCACCTTCCCAGCCCCTGATACTTTTTTTTAAATTTGGTCTAACCATTCCTTTCTGTTTTGTCAGTGCTTTATGAGATAAAATAAAAGCAAAACGATCTAGAACTTTAGTTGTTTTCAGTGAAAATTCTCACCTGCCATTACTGGCAACACCAAAACCCTGGAACTTTTAACTCTAATTTAATTTAATTTAACTCTATAATTTAATTTTAATTGTATAGTCTAATTCATAAAACAGCCTTAAGAATGTTTAATTTCATGCCACTATTTAGCTCAACAATCTCAAAATGCCAGAATCCACATTTAGTCACTCAATTCATGGATCAAACATCTAAAGTTCAAAATGTAGTCATCTCAGGAGCCAAAGTAAGTATAAGATTCTCACACAGTAATTTCATTCACAAAGAGAAGAGAAACACTGGACATGCAGCAGGTATTCCTACATCTAAAATACCAACACTTCCTACCTTCCATCTGCTACATTATCTTGGTCAGATCTTGAAATACATTGTTATTTTACCTTTTCTAATGCATGGTCAAGTTCATAGGACAGAACCAGCAATGCTTTCCCAATCAGAACGTTCCTCTCAATTCCAGGGCAGTCCTCGTCATGTTCCTCAATCAATAAAGCAATGGCTACAATTCTCTGTGGAGTTCCTGTTACCTGTTGTTGCCAGGATGATGTGTGGGCCACTTCCATAGCTGAGGCAGGCAATCTTTTTGCCACTTAAGGAATCCAGTCTCCGAGGTTCAATGGTGTTCTGGATGTTACCTAAACCCAGACAGCCACTGCAGTTTGTGCCAAGCACAAAAATCTGTGAGAAAACCACTGTCAGTTCAAGTTGGCCAATATGTGATGAGCCAAGAACGACCACAAATAAGCGCAGTCTTCCTGTGCAAACTGCTTCATAGAGAATAAATACAAATCAACTTGCCATGCTTTAAACAAACATACAAACAAAAATCTGCATTGATCCTCAATTGAACAAATCCATTACTAAACATATGGGGGGGCTGGATGTTTTTCTTCAAGTTACCTCATCATTTATTGTGGTATATAAAGCCTCATTGCCAGCACTGCCAAAGACACAAGCCTGACGAATTAACTGCAGTTCTTCTTCAGAACAAAGGGAAAAAATTGGCCACTTTCCCACATCTAACATCTTCAATGATGAGAGAATAGCCAGTAATGGCTGAAAAGGAAAAATAGGAGAGATTAGTAATACAAAAAATACATTTTCTTAGTCCCTTTACTTCTGCAGAAGGGGGACCAAAATCTTAAGAAGCAAGTCCTAAACATGTGTGTCTGTCACTGAGAGCCCCTCGCAGCTGCCTCAGGAAGGCTCTTGCAGCAAGTAGGCACCAGAGGCCCAGATGGATTCAGATCTCATCTATTCATTTTACTCAAGGGCACAGGAACTACCCAGGGCTGGCCCTTAGGAAGTTGAATAATCAACAAGTACTTTAAATATTGGCTGTGTTTTCAATGTAGCCATGGAAACAAGGCTTGGTTTAAAAAAAAGGCAAGAAAAAACTTAGGGAGAGAAAGAGGAAAGGGAGAAGGGCTACTTGGATGCCTCAATCCTAATAAAACAAATCCTTGGCAACGGTCATTGCTGAAGGGGACACTGGAGGCGTGGTCTTGGGCAAGCATCAGCTGATGTTCAGTTTGAGGAGTGGCTGGATTTCCTCCCTGCTCAACCCTCAGGTTTGGGACTGTTTAGAAGAAACATTCAGTTTGCTACAGCAGCTATAACTAAGTACTGCAAGCAGGAGGTTTAAACAACCAAGATTATCCCACAGTCTGTAGACCCAAAGTCCAAAATCAGCTAGTTTTGCTCCTTCTGAAAGTGATATGGAAAAGATCTATTCTAGGCTCCACCTTGGCTTGCAGGTGGCTGCCTTCTCCCTAGGTCAGTTTGCACCATCTACCCTGGATGTGTATGTGTCCACATTCCTCCTTTATATAAAGACAGCAGTTAGACTACACCAGCGCTCATCCTAGTGACTTCATCTTAACTAATATAATTATATCGGCCATGATTCCATTTCATGTTGAAGTACTGGTCAGTTAGGACTTGAACACATGAATATTGAAGGGTTACAAGTAAGGCCATAACAGCATTTATTAAGATCATCATAAAATTGTCTCAAAAAAGTCTTTATCTGCCACTGGACACATTTTATTTACACATTTTTTGACATGTAAAAATTTTGAATAGTACAGCAAGATGCATAAACAGACAATATGCCATGCTGATACCTGCTGTCTAATGGCATGTTTGCTCAGTTCACATGATAACATGTTTGATTTAATGGAGCAAAAATTATCTGGCCATATGCATCACCTACTAGATAAACCTTACTAGGAATGACTTCTAATATAGACTTGTGGGCCAGCCACTTATTTTCTAGAAAAGAACATTGCTCTTTCCATCTTAGGAGTCACTTGAGGATGTCTGAGAGCGCAAGAGAACAATACTTCACTTGCAAAGTGCATGCCACAGATTTACAAGGCGCCCCCATCCTTATTACCCAGCATGCTTCTGAGGCCACCTTCATAGGCTTCTAGAATATAGTTCACGGAGACAGAAAAGACTCAGTCTCTTTTACCACCATGCCATTGATCTTTTGCATGGGTATCATAGATGATATATATTGGTTAAATGAACAAATAAATGTTCAGCTAAATGGCTCTACTTCTACTTCCACATTCAAAACATGCCTTCCAGTCCTACCTTCTGTGACTCCATTACCCTTACCCTGTGACTCCATTACCCTTACCCTGTACCTCCATTCTCTGCTCTGGAATCCAATTTTATTTGAGGGAGGGAGGGGGAGAGGAGGGAGGGAGGGAGGGAGGAAGGAAGGGAAGGAAAGGAAAACCAGATGCTAGGGTTCATGTCTGTAATCTTAATTTCTCAGGAGGCCAAGATCCAGAGGATGGAGGTATAAGGTCTGCCTGAGAAGAAAAGTACGTGATACTCCATCTCCAAAAATAACCAGAAAAAGCAGGGCTGATACATGGCTCAAATGGTAGAGCACCAGTGAGCAAGCAAGATGAGCAGGCCAAAGGCCGTAAGTTCAAACCCCAGTACTGGTAACAGCCCTGTGAAATATTGTTTACTGAAAGAAAAGCAATTGTCCAAGGCCACTACACAGAGATGGAAAGATCAGATTATATTAAAAATGTAGTCTAAGTTCCTACTTTAATTTACCTACCTTCTTATCATGAAGGAATCTTATTTTCTAAGAAGTCTGCTTTTTATTGTTTCCTTCTGTAAATTTCAAGAACAAAGGTTGTAACTGATATTAATTATCTAATGTAGATAATGTATTAATATTCTAATTAGAGTTTTTATATATTATATATACATGTGAGGAAGAGGAAAGTAAGGCACAAAAAAATGACTAAACATCCTACAAAATCAGTAGCTTTAGGTAGAGGAGCCCAGATTAAAGCATACATTTTTTTCCACATATCATCTAATGGCTGAGTAAAAGTTCACACAAAATGTTATACACCAAGGATAGGTTGGAAGACACAGGTGAGAATGTTGAAAGGGGAACATTGATCAAGATGCATTGTATTCATAAACTACTTTGTTAAATGGCAATTCCTCTGAACAGCTACTTAAAGGTAATTTTTTTAACTTTAAAAAATACTATATACTTGTAGTCTGCTCTTTGTACTTGTAGGGCTTTGATGATTGTTTTCAGAGTGCTAATGCCTGCTCTGCACTGTCTTCTGCAAACAATACTGGTAGCAAGATGCAATGACTAACTACTAGCTCATTTTCCTTCATTTCATTCTGCTTGATTACAAAATCAAGTGGCTTCCTGGATGCCTACAATCAGGCTGTAAATTCCAATCAGCTACTAAACACTTATCTATATGGCAGTAGGTGTCAACTCTCCTCCTAGTCCACTTATACAAATAGCTATAGTGCCCACTGGTAACTCTCTGACTACTGGGATTCCAATGTATAGGTGTATGTGTTTAATGCAACCTATAGTATTACCTTTATTAAAAGGTGCTACTGAAACCAGGTACCTGAGCTCAACATCTGCAATCCTCAGTAAGAGCACAAGGCCCTGTGTAGAAGCCCCAGTACTGGCACATGTGCGCACACACACACAAATACATACACACATATAATAATAATAACAATAACAATAATAAGAAAAGATGCTACCAATCAAGAGAACGTCAGGTATGACCGGATCACTAAAGATAAAATTATTCCCTTCCAGAAGGCATAATCTAATGGAACATAAATAATTGTACTATAGTCTATGAACACCAGATAGGTACTTCCGGTTTTGTTTTGGTGCAGGTTCTGGGGCTTGAACTCTGGGTCGGCTTTTTGCTAGTTAATAGGACAAAAGAGTCCTTCAAACCATGATTCTCAGATCTCAGCCTTCTTAATAGCTAGGATTATAGGTATAAGCCACCAACCCAGGCTTCAGATATATACTTTTTAAATATATCAAAAGGCCAATTGCTGGACATTAGTCATCAAAGCCTGATGTTTTTAAGGCTGTGAGAAATAAGAAAATGATGGCTTAATTTATAAAATGCACATATTTATTCTTTTCAAGATATGAACATTTAATAGTAGTTTCATGGAATCTTACACTATCAATCACATTAGAATAAATGCTTCTGTCCAACATACTTATGAGACAATGTATATAAATTCACACATAGCACTTGCAGAAGCTTTGATTGTGAGACAGCCATTCTGCATGATGGCAGTGTGTCTGCAAATACCCTCAGCAGCTCTGTTCCCTGAGTCAGGTAAGAGATGGGCTAAGTAAGAGCTGACACCAGCAGGAAACAAATCTATGTGTGGAAACAAGCCTCCATAGGAATGGCCCAGCACCATCATGTCCTAGAATCTAGTCCTAGCGTGGACTAAGTAACCTGACTGTACTACCATCTACAGGGTAGTTAACCCCAGGCCAGTGGTCTTTTATTACTTAGATCACATTCAATCCACTTTTCCCACCTGTAGCTGGCATCTCTGGAATGCAAAGTAGTGAGATAATCTCAAGGAAAACATAATAAAGGAAATACAGGTGCCATAAAATCAAGAGATCATCCCACTAGTCTTTAGAGAGTGTGTTGCTGTACAGCCATGCTTCTGCATCAATATGAGGAATGTAGTATATAACCACACTTCTTTTGATGATGGATAACCACCAAGTTGTCATAATTCAACTTAAAATATCGTCTATGAATGGCCAACTGCGGTAGTACCTGCCTGTAATCTCAGCACTTGGGAGGCTGAGTCAGAAGGATTCAGTTTAAGGCCAGACTGGGCTACATAATGAGCCTGTCTTAAAACACATACATACATACATATATATGTACATACATACAGCCTGTGCATAATTACTTCCATCTCTTATTGCAGATTTACTGTGATTTATTAAAGTGAAAAGCTGGCACAAAAAGTGACTGTTAGTATTAAGTTGTTTAATGGTGATGAGCAGATATTTGGTAAATTAATAACATGATGGGAATCACTAGGCATGCCAAAAAGTGTGTAATTTTTAGTATCATTTGGATGCTGACTGGACTTAAAGCTAGTTGAGTGTTATGTTCACATATGATGGAAAAATTAAAAGATACCTGCAATGAAATGAGAACATATCTTCTAAGATTACATAATATATGTATTAATCTTTGGAGAAGTAATAAATGTTGTTGAACTCAGGAGCTTTTTTGCAGGACAGACCCAGACCCATGTGTAAGCAGAGGCCTGTCATTCTCATCTGCCCGCACCCTCCCCCACCCCAGTCCTCTCTCTTCCCTTCAGGTGGTACCAGTTCCCTGTTGCCCTTCAGCATTCCACAAACCTGTGGCATCTCATTCAGTACACAAGAGTGCCACAAAGACAGACACTAACTTATTGGTCCTCACATCAGTGGCCAATGGATATCTGATGAAATATAATTCATGCAACAGAACACACATGCTGTCAGGGCATGCTTATTTTTCCTAACCTGGCCACTTTCTCCATAGAAAAGGGGAAGTTCTTCTTCCATATGGACTCAGTCCTGTGCAGTCCCTGAAGGAAAAGTACATGGTAAAATCAAGATTCCATATATCAAATGAAACTGAATAGGTTAAAATTCTTTTACTTCTAGATGAGGAACAGTGTTGCACACTTGTAGTCACTCCACAGAGAGGCTGAGGTAGATTGCTTGAGGACAGAGAATAGCCTGAGAAAAACACGTGAGACCCCATGTTTTATAAAAAAAATTACTTTTAATTAACAAAGACAAGTTAAGCTTAACTATAGTAAAGGGAAGATAAGGGAAATAAGCTTTAGGTATGGGAGTTCACAGCAATAAAATCCACAGGTGTTCTGTTCTGGAATTCTGATAGAATCAAGCTGCTGAGGTCTGGGGAGGCAATCCCAGGATAAATGTAGGTCCTTCTAGCTACAAGAACATCAGCAGGATTTTTTCATCTCAGAGTTAATGTTCTATAGGTAAGAAAAATTCATAACTTTGATAATTTGGTCAACTTTTTTTTCTGGGTTTAGAAAATTCCAGTGAAGATCAGACTTATCAATTCTCAGTTCCACAGAAGAATATATGACTTGCTAAGCTGTAAAATAAATACATAAAAGGAGAAATGAATGAAAAGGATGAAAGGATGAATGAATAAACACAGCTTTGTTTCCAAGACTTTAACAACAACAACAAAAATAGTCTGAAATAACAGTCATCCAGTATGGAGCAAGAATACTGAAAGTTCTTATCTTAAAAACCATCTCTGGGCTGGGAAGGTGGCTCAGTGGTAGATCGCTTGCCTTGCATGCATGAGGCCCTGGGTTCGATTTCTCAGCACACATAAGCAAAAAGAAAAAAAAGCCGGAAGTGGTACTGTGGCTCAAGTGGTAGAGCGCTAGCCTTGAGCTGAAGAGCTGAGGGACAGTGCCCAGGCCCAGAGTTCAGGCCCCACAACCGGACCCCCCCCCCCAAAAAAAAAAAAAAACCATCTCCACATGCTGCCACCACGTGGAAGTGACAGCAGACACTGGAATGACAAAAGCAGCCCTCTGGAAAGCATGAAGCATGTGCACACTGTGGTTAAATTCTTACCAGTTATCTATCCTATCCATCTATATCTATTCAACAAGAATATATATAAATACATTATCTATGCTGAATATACATTCAACAGGAATGATAACCAAATATATATATATATTCAACAAGATAGATAACTGGTATGTATATGTGTATATATATGTGTGCATGTGTATATATATGTATACAAACATATATACATACATATATGTGTATACACATATATACATATATTATGTATGCATTACACACACATATATATGTATATATAAGTACAAATATAAAATGTAAATATATCAAATTTTATATTTGTATTTATATATACATATATAATATATACACACATAAATATATAATATAAACAGTATCCAATAATACTTTTTCCTAATTTATTATATAGGATATTATTTACTTAAATACAATCATGCTTCAAGTACTAATCTCAGAAGATTTTATCTGATATTCACTACAGTAGAATTAGAACCTTACAGCAGATAATCAAAATAAGGTTAAGCCCTTTAAAATATATATAGAGAGAGAGAGAGAGAGATCATGACAACACATCATTGGACAAGCTTACTATTAACCACTAAGGCCAAGTCTGAATAGACACTATAAATTTATTTATTCTTTTTTTTTTTTTGTCTATCGTGGGGCTTGAACTCTGGGCCTGGCTGCTGTCCGTCAAATCTTCACCTCAAGACTAGCACTCTAGGGCTGGGAAGGTGGCTCAGTGGTAGAGCGCTTGCCTTGCATGCATGAGGCCCTGGGTTGGATTCCCCAGCACCACATAAGCAAAAAGAAAAAAAGCCAGAAGTGGTGCTGTGGCTCAAGTGGTAGAGCGCTAGCCTTGAGCTGAAGAGCTGAGGGACAGCGCCCAGGCCCAGAGTTCAGGCCCCACGACCAGACCCAAAAAAAAAAAAAAAAAGACTAGCACTCTACCACTTGAGCCACAGGGCCACTTCCGGTTTTTCTGGTGGTTTACTGGAGATAAGAGTCGCATGGACTTTCCTGCCCCAACTGGCTTTGAACTGTGATCCTCAGATCTCAGCCTCCTGAGTAGCTAGGATTACAGGAGTGAGCCACCTGCTAAGGGACAGGACTCAGACCCTGGCCCCTGACCCCTGACTTCCAGCCCCAGTACTAGCACAAGGGAAAAAAAGTTTGTGAATTTCACCAAGAGTATTGGAACAGATTGGTCCACAGCAAAGCTATATTAAATTTAAAGAGATTGCTAAGCTCATCAACACTGGCCTTTTCAATGATACCTAGCAAAAGTGCCTTTTTCAAATATGGAAAATATTCAACATAAACTACAAAACACTTAAATTGTTACAAGTAATGTACTTGTGTTTTATTTGTAAACCCACTTGAAATTCAGTCTCTTAAAAAAAATAATTCACGCTGGACGCCAGTGGCTCACGCCTGTAATCATAGCTACTCAGGAGGCTGAGATCTGAGGATCATGTTTCAAAGCCAGCCCAGGCAGGAAAGTCTGTGAGACCTTATCTCCAATAAACCACTAGAGAACCAGAAGTGGCACTGTGGTTCAAGTGGTAGAGCGCTCCCTTTGAGCTAAGCGCTGAGGGACAGCGCCCAGGCCCAGAGTTCAAGCCCCCTGACCGACCAAAAAAAAAAAATCTAATTCAGGGCTGGGAACGTGACCTAACCCTTGCCTAGTGCACATGAAGCCCTGGGTTTGATTCCTCAGTACCACATAAACAGGAAAGGCTGGAAGTGGAGCTGTGGCTCAAGTGGCAGAGTGCTAGCCTTGAGCAAAAAGAAGCTCAGGGGCAGTGCTCAGGCCCCAGGACTAGCAAAAAAAAAAAAAAAAAAAAATCTAATTCAATTTTTAAATAGGTCTTAAAAAGTATCTATTAAACAGATATAGGCCTGAGAAAGTAAATAATTCCTAGAACATGGTACTCTCCTGATCTCAGCTCATTTCCACTTAAGATTCCTTTTAGTCAGTATCATATACATTCAACACAATACAGAAAATGTCTAAGTTATTCACACAATACCATCCACTGGTTCTTGTTAGCTCAAAATGTCTTCCACGGGAGATACATATGAATTACTTATCTCGTGTTAGATTGACAAGGCTTAAGACATTAAAGACACACTTTGGTATTATATTACTGTTTAAAAAAAACTATTATGGTTTAAAACTTCCTAGAGACCTTCATGTTGTTAGGAGGGGATCACCATTGAACTAAAATACATATTCCTTTCAGATATCAAAAGCTGTAAGGATCCTATCAGCCTTCCATTGGTAGACATTATGAACACTCCTTACAAGAGGCAAACTATCTGCTCTTTTGTAGCAGCACACACATTCCCACATGGACCTCTGTTTTCAGCTTTGAACAGAAAGAGTCTTTGACATCACTCTACAATACCAATAATTCTGATCCTGGACAATTATGATTTATAGTAACTCCAAAGGAACTCCAAAAGTAGCATTAACTTCCTAGCATTTTAATTTTACTTTAGCTACTGGTAAGGCTGAAATTGAACATGACAGTGATCTAATGGTATAAGCAAATTCTGTGAGTCTCCTACATTTGTAGTCCTAGATTAGTCATTTTTAATGTCTGAATGTTGACTGCTTGTGATGTACTTAAGTAGAAAGGATCTTAGGGTAAACAATTTACCTTCTAAAATTGTTCCTGTTGTCCTCTTTCTCTAAGTTTACTATAAGTAAGGTCTAAAAGTTAATTATGTTTGTCTGGCTCATTCAAAACTCTCTACGAGAGATGAATATGATAGCATAAAGCCTATCATATTTAAGCTCCTCTTCTACAGTTTCAGATAAAGAAAAGGCACCAGACGCCAGTGGCTCACACCTATAATCCTAGCTATCAAGAAGCTAAGATACAAGAATTACGGTTCAAAGTCAGTCCAGGCAGTAAAGTCTGAGACTCTTATCTCCAATTAATCATCAAAAAGTAGAAAGTCGAGCTGTTGCTCAAGTGTTAGAGCACTAGCCTTGAGCAGTAAACGCTAAATGATAGCCCTCAGACCTTGAGTTTAAGCCAGGAGACTAGTGTGTGATGCGCGTGCGTGTGCATGCGCACGCACGCGCACGCGCACACACACACACACAAATTGCAAAGTGAAGTAAATTGTGAATATACAGCCCTCTCTTGGTATCAAGGGAGACAAGTATAAAGACACCCCACATACACATGCACTCCAAGAACACCAAAAGCTGTGGACATTTATGCCCCTTATCTGAAATAGCCTAACACTGCAGATAATGTACACTTAGCCTCCTCTTCATATACTTTAAATCATCTCTAAGTTAATTATGGCACATAATACAATGTAAATGTTATGTGAATATTTATATCCTTTATTGTTTAGAAATAGTGACATATAAAAGTACATGTTAGTATAAACTCAAGAAAAATTCAACTCAGTGTTTGTTTACCTATGAGTGCAGAACAACAGTATATAGAAAGCCAACTGTCTAATTTTCCTCAGCACAGTTTTAGTGTTTGGTTACTCTTCTCTGCATGAATCCAGGTTCCTCATTTCATATGAGTGGTTAAATTGCAAAATCCCAAATAATTGAACTCTATTTGGAGAAAATGATTTTTTAACTATATACCATAAATTCTGTATCAGTCACAATGATTATTCTACGGATTGCACCCAGGAAAGATATACTAGAGCATGGGTACCAAGTATTTTCTCCTAGAAAGATAACTAATTCTAAACTCCAGACTTCCACTTTGTATACCATCTTAAATGTATCCTTGCAGTGGTGGGAAGCATCTGGTCCAAGGGCAGTATAAGGAAATCTCGGTACATAGAGGGCATGTGAGCATGACATCCACCTTTGGTCCTTGGCTCCACCCATACCTGAGCTCCTCCCTGCCCAGGAATTCCCAAAAATTTCTCTGGAGCGAGTTGGAGTCCCAATTCATTGATACCATGAACAAACCAGCTTCTGAGCTCTGGTTATGGGTAACACAGAGGACCATTAAGATAAAATCATAGAGTGATGAGTCCGAAGAACAAGATATAAGAGGTGAGACTAACAGGGCAGTGGTTATTTCAGAAGAAGCAGCCACTTCTCTCACAACTGTCAGAAAGTCTAGAATGGGATCCAGCGTCCACGGAGAGACGTGGGTGGAGTCAGAGCGAACTCTGAGGGGAACACCTCACGCACAAGCCCCGGGGCGAAGGTCCTCTGGGCGTGCCCAGTCAGCCCTAGAGCCGGCACGCGGGAGCGGCGTGCGCGGAACGCCCCGCTGTGCTTTCCCCGGAACGGCGCGTCTGCGAGAAAAGATGACATTTCACCTGGAGCATTCGGATTCGCCGCTTTTCTGTGTCAGCCCAAATACCACACACAGGCACGCCACGGAACACCTCGAGGCACACAGTAACCAGACTGCTAGACACGACTCCCCGTCGCTCCAGCTGCCAGAGGCCGGCTTAGCCCTGTCCGGGAAGGAGTTAAGCCCAGCGGGCACGGACGGCGCGAGGCCGCGAGCGCGCGGCGCACAGGGCCGGCCGCGCTGGAGGCTGAGAACGTCGGCTTCTCACAGCTCGGGAACCCCCCCCCCCCCCCCCCCCCCCCCGCCCCAGGCCGGGCCCGGCAGCCAGGCGTCGGCGCAGAGCACCTCCACAAGGGTTGGCTGCGAGCCTCGACTCCAGCGCTCACAGCTCAGTCAGTCCCGCAAGGAACCACCACCACAGAAAGAGCAAAAAGCTCCCTTTTCCAACTCAGAAAGTTCTAGGCTGGCCTGGGCGGGGTCTCCCCAGTTTCTCCCGGGCTGAAGCCCTCTACTTCCGGTCTGAGCCGCGCGGGGCCTTCCGGTTTAGGATGCGCGAACTGTTTCCCCGCGTTCCTCCGCACCGCCACCAGCGGTCTGGGAAGCAAGCCGCCCGCCTTTATCCCCGGGAACAGAAACTGCCAGAGTCCGCGGGCCAGGTGGAGGCGCAGGAGCTAGTGACGGGGTGGCGGAAGTAAAAACACGGGCAGCCCACGCCGGGCGAAGAGCGGAAAGACGAGCGGAAAACAGAACGCCCTGAAGGGAGCCACTTTCACAGAAACAAAGGCCCTGGACATTCCGCCGCTCTCGGCTCGCGCGCGCGCAGTGCAGCGTGGGCGCAATGCCAGAGAAGCGCTGTGGCCTCACACGCATGCTCACCAGCTTCACCCGCCCCCTCACTTAGGCGCCCTCCGGCCCCGCTTCTGGGCCAGCGCTGGGTATCACTTTCGAGCTTTGCGCGCCCAGCCTCCCACCACCCGCCTTGCGCATGCGCGGCGACGCCTAGGCCCTCAGTTCATCAGGGGCCCCGGGGGCCCCTGCCGCCGCAACGGAGGCGGTCTGGGAGCGGTTCCCAGTCTTGAGGTACCTGAAGAGCGGGCTGGCTTTACGTCCGGCGCCTCCCCTCAGCCTCCCACGCCATCCCTCCACCTGCTTACCTCCGGCTCCCGCCGGAGCCGCGTCCGCTCCGCCTTCTGGGTCGCCGTTAGGCACGGTCTGGGCCCAGCGCCACGACGGCTTGGCGCCTCCCCCTGCCCGCAGCGGCCTGGCCTCGGCGGGTTGCGCTCCAGTGCCCGGGCGGCGGCGGGGCGGGGGGGGGGGGGGGGGGGGGGGGGGGAGGGGATGGGGGGGCCGGAGGGGAGGGGGCCGGGGCCTCGCCTCGCCCCACCCCCTCCCTTTCCCCCTGGGACTCGGGACGCCGGGTCTCCACGGGGGGTCGCCGGCCGGCGGGTCCCTGGGAACCCCGGCGGGACGCGCTTCGCTCCAGGGTTGTGGTCCCCACACGTGGTCTTAGGTTGAAGCTCGAGTCCATTGTGGGTGGTTTTTTGTGTCTGATTTCATTCTGCACGGGGACAATCTAATTTCCCCAGCTCCATTTACGGCCTTTTCATGGGTTGTTTTTGGCCGCCTCGTCCAAAGTCTTTAAAAAGAAGGAGATTTGGTTTCTGTGACCACGTGGATAAACCGGACTGGGAGGACTTTATCTTGGAGTTTATAAGCAGGCTCAGGGGACAAATATCTCCTTGATTGCATGTGACGTTCTCTTCGAGGAGAGAGAGCAGAATGGTGGATACTAAAGCCTGGGGCTTGGGGAAACGCGGGGAGAGATACTGATGAACAGATGCAAAATGTCTGGCTAAGAGGACCAGGTACAAGAAGCTGTGGTTAATAAGAATAGCCATGTATTGTATGCCAGAGGTTGCTAAGAGAATTAGATAGTAACTGTTGGAGGGTTTTTTGTTAAGTTTGAGGCAATCTCCCTTTTCAGCCCAGGCGTCTCCAGCTTCTGTCCCGCCACCCATCACACCCTCCATAGTAATGTCACAAAAAAGTAAGGTAATGCACATGTTAATTAGCTTGATTTAGCCAGACCACAGTGTATACATATCAAAACATGTTGTAAGATACAAATATAATGTTGCCAGCTGAACTTTTTTTTTAAGTAGTAATTTCACACCAATTTTCTTTGCCTGGCTCTTTATAGTATTTTATCTCAATCCTTAGGATAACCTGCACTTTAAGTAATCGTCATCGTCTTGAAGACACTTCCTATAATTTGCCTAGGGTCCTATAACTAGTGGGAGTTGGGGGTAACTGAACTTCATGCTCTGGACCATGTAGCCGCTTTCAAATTAATTAGGAAAGCAGGCCAAATAATAAAAGGCCTTGGCAATACAACTAGATGCATCACAGGATCTTACATAGGATTTTAGGTTTGGATGCTATAATTCCCTCCCCTTTGACCAGACTCACTGAAACAAGATAGGAAAGGGGACCTGGAGGAGAAAAATTGAGTTAAAATAATATTAGGTATAGAAGTTAGGAAAGAATGTAAAATTGACCAATTAATAGTTTCTGAGCTTTTTCTTGCAGGGTGGGGGGTGGCGCAGTTCTGGAGCTTGAACTCAGGCCTTGCAGTTTTGGGGGTTTTTTTGCTCACGGTTAATGCTGTACTACTTGAACCACATGTTCGCTTCCAGCTTTTTTGCTGGTTAATGGGGGATAAGTGTCTCAGGAACTTTTTTGCCCAGAATGACTTCGAGCTTCAGTCCTTAAAACTCAATCTCCTGAGTATGGTTATGGGTGTGAGCATGTCTCTATGCTGTGGTAGCACACTTCACTTTGGCAGTGTTTGCTTCACAGTGGTATATACTGGCAGTGACTCTTAGTCAGGAAATGTCTCCTAACCTGGAGACATTTTAAGTTCCATCTTCAGCTTTTCCTTCCTTGTACACCAAAGGATATGACAGGCACAATGCTAGCTCACTCCCAGCATTGGAGTAAATGCTCTTTTGCAACTACTTCAGGTCAATGTTCTGCTATAAATTGGCTTTTCCGAGCATTGAAGAGGATTGAAGATGAATTGCTGGTAAATAAGGAGAGGTTTCATGGCAGACGATGGTTCTAAGTCATTGGTATCCAGAGCATACTACCATAGCCTAATTTACTCTTAGTTTTAACATTAGAGCTTGGATCAAATCCTCAACTAGCAAAATGGCTCATTTACCCTGCTCTGCTTTCCTGTGTATGCAGTTCTCCAGGGGCAGCAACAAATAGGTCAAGGGCAGGATTTGGGTTATACTGGCTCTCCTGCTCAAACACCACATTAATTGTTCTTATGACCCAAATTAAATAGACTTTAGATTATTTTTGGAACTAAGAATTAACTAAGAAAGTTTTAGAAATAACAGTAGAGTTTGCTGGGCACCGGTTGCTTACACCTGTAATTCTGGCTACTCAGCAGGCTGAAATCTGAGGATCATGGTTCAAAGCCAGCAGGGGCAGGAAAGTCCTTGAGACTCTTATCTCCAATTAACTACCAGAAAACCGGGAGTGGCACTCTGGCTCAAGTGGTAGAGCACTAGCCTTGAGCTGAAGAGCTGAGGGACAATGGCCAGGCCCCCGATTCAAACCCCACAACTGACAAAAAACAAAAAATAGAGTTTAGAAAATATGACCAGTTACAAAATCAATAAAAAAATCAATATTGGGAAAACTATAAATCAGAGACAAAAGAAGACAAGATGAAGAAGCATACTTTCTTTTTACATAAGATGATGCCACAGTTTAAGACGTGCAAATCTAATGTAATACCAGTAAAAAAATGATTTTACCTAAATTTCAAAATGAAGTGGAAATCATAGTATGATAGAGGAAGACAATTGGCTTTATAGATTAAATTTGCCCTTTGACTTAAATAATCTCACCTCTAGGAATTTACTAATTGGCAAATATGTAGAAGAATGGTAATCACCAGCTTGTGTTTTATTGTGATACATGGTGGCTAAGTCCATTCAGGCTGTCATAACAAAAGATCTTAGACTGGGTATTTAATGTATAAACAACAGAAATGTATTGATCACATTTATGGAGGCCAGAAAAGGCCAAAGTGAGGTCATCAATGAAGCTGATGTTTGGTAAATGCATACTGTGTGTTTCATGGTTGGCACCTTGTTTCTTTGTACTTACAAAGGAAAGAGTAAGAACAGTGTCTTAATATTAACATAATGGTATTAGGTTCCAATATATGAATGGAGATGAAGAGTAGGGGTATCAATATTCACATTCTAGCACATGGGAATAATACACATATAACACACTAAAACTATATTAGTAAATTGAAGGATAGCAATTACTAGTAGAAGCCTGCCAAAAAGTCATGCTTTTTCTTTTTATTGAGGACAATTTATATATTTTTTAATTGAGGACAATGTATATATATCTTTTATGGAAGACAGTTTTTATATATAAATATATACACAAATGTATGTATGCATGTATGTACATAAATATATGCATGCATGTACACATATATACATGTATGTGTACATATATGTGCTAATTAGTAAGGCTTCATATACCCATTCAGTTTCAGCAATTAGGAATTCATGGTGAACCTTGTCTTGTTAATACTTTCAGTCCCTCTATCACCATATTAGTTTGAAGCATCTCCTTTCACTGAAATATTTTCATGAATCTCACACAGACCAAAGGAGGATACTCTTAGGAGAGGAACAAAGAAACAATTGCCTATGTGCATCTGATCATATAAAATAATATTTATTGAAATGAATTCCAGGAAATGGAAACAAGAAGTTTCTACTTTGTTACTGTTGGTTGTTATTGTTTTTTTGTCTTGTTTGTTAGTTTATCTGTCTTTGGGAAGGTAAAGGGGGGCACAGAAATGTAGGGAGAAAGGTGAACAAATAGGGGAAGCGGGGAGATGGAAAGGGATGGGAAGGGGAAACAAAGGAGGAGGCAACAATGCTTGATAAGAAATGTACTCATTATCTTGCCCATGTAATTGTAACCCCTCTGTATGGTATTTTCACAATAAAAAAAAGGTGAACAAATGCAGCAGTGATACTCAGGTGACACCATGTTGAAAATGAACTATACAACTTGTGGGTGAGGATGAGGGGGGAAACAGAGAACAAGGAAAGGAGTGACATTTCCCAAAAAGAAATGTACTCTACCTGATTTATGTAACTGTAACCCCTCTGAACATCACCTTTATAATGACAATAAAATTAAGTATTTTTGTGAA